GCACGATGAGCATCATGTTTACTTAACTTAACGAAAAGTGAGTCAAATAAATTCTTTGTGTCCCCATTATTCACTTTATATAACTAATATGTAGCTCATATACAGTGCACGATGATATATGCTCAGTTTTGTGAAAAGAACGCCCGTAAATTAAAAATCTAACTATTCACGCATTTCAAATGTAATTGGTTATTAATCTTGGTACAGCATTATAAGTGGGCGTTCGCCTTACATCTCAACTGTACTGACATTGTAATGAAAATCTAATTTGGCTCTATTCGATAAAAATCACACTGTTTACAATTTTTTTTAAATGTTTCAACATATGAAATCAGGTTGTGATCTGTATAAAGATCTAAACAAATGTCCCAAAAAAAAATCAAAATCGAAATTGAGAATTTGTAATTTTTTTAGAAACCAAGGATAAAGTTCAATTAGTAGAACAGATAATTTCTACACCATTTTTAATTGTTTAATTATCTCATTTTATAATTGAAATAGACATTGTGCATGGTATCAATAGAATACATCATTTAGAAATGTGAATTAAACATAAAATACTTGTTGTGTACCTATAAAAACATAATAACACATTTGTTTCCATGTGAATATATATATATATAGCTTGTTCGGATCGAACTGGAATATGTAGCAGTTCCTACAGAAATGGACAAACTTAGTTGGCAGGACAGTGATTTAAGTTTAAAAAAACAAACAAACAAACAACAAAACAAGTCAAATACTTAAAGTCAATAATGAATGACTCATAACTTATTCTTCAAGGCTATTATTGTTATTATTATTATTATTATTATTATTATTTGTTCTTACATTTTTCTTTTAATTTAAATGGTTAAGAATACTAAACAAAAGTATAAATAAATGCTGCTACATTAATCTCTCATATATTTCAATGTACTAACAATTACTCATTCTTTAAATATACATATAAATAAGCGAAAAAATGTATTCAACGTGTATATATATATATATATATATCTGCTCAATTGTTCAATAACAGGTAAATGTTCATTAGATGAGCAGATTTATATTATGTTCTGTGTATATGTACATACTGGCTTATGTATATAGATACAAGTATATTCTTCGGGCAGCCCAACACTGTTTTTTTACTCATACAAATCAAATACATCTGATTGTGTGTTACTGAGACTTGAGTAGATAAAAAGAAAATAACATTGTTTTAAATAAAAATGCAAAACTTTAGAATCATTAGTATTGGTAGTAACTAATAGCTGTTATAACCAAGTGATTGAATACAGGCGCATGACACCATTGATTAGACTATAAATTGTTATCAGTTGGGATTAAGATAGAGAGAATACTAAGATAAATGAAACTTTATTGATCAAACGGATTATTTAAGGGACTGATTTGTTATTTTTTATGTATAACACACATTGAAAGCTCTAATAGGGAAATAAGTAACTGGACCATAATATTTTATTAATGATAAGTCATAGTATTTCTTCTGGTTTCATTTAATCCAACATGGTTCTATTTCTTAAGAAGAGATGGACGGTGACTAGTAGCAAAATCCGGGATGCGCTTTTTGTTGCATTTCGGATTCATCAGCTGAGTGTACCTCCATCCCAGAATTAATGTCCATTTTTGAATTAGAACCCAGTAACTTTTGCTCCAAAAGTCATTGTGCTATCCATTTAGCCACTATGCCCAGGCAGCCACCATTTTGTGGATTGAGGTGAATTTTAATTTCAATTCATATACAATTGTTGTTTTAATTTTCTCACGGTTGTTTAGGTATGCAATTAATGGGTTACTTTTGGTTTATGTGCTAGCCCCTATTCGTCTGTATTTAAAATGCTCATCGCCTCATGATAATATTACAGCAACTCATACAGGATGCATATCTGCCGAAAGAAATTGATCAGTTACAGTCCTATACACCAATAAAAGGATTCAGAAAACTGATATAAATGTATTATGATTCTATTCGGTTCCATCTAGAAGAAACGGTTTTAGCCAACATCTGTGGTAGTTGAATTTTTCCCAGTCTCTTCCTACTTCATTCAGAATCAGACCCAGGTGTTGAAGAGTGAATTTGCAACTATGGTACCCGAGTAAATTTTATATACGTAGGTCAATAATTGACTCCGGCTCATACTTTTCTGAAATTTTACTAACTCTACTCGGTAGCTCTACAATTTATGAACAATTGCTTCTAACATGGTGAGCTATGTAGATTGTTAGATCAATGCTGAAGATCATCAGACTACAGACAAGTTATTACTGACTGATATAGTCAAAGAAAAATCAGCAACTAATGAACACTTGTATAGAATAATTTAGATTGTGACTAGCATAGGAGTTTGGGACGCATATTTTGACCTACTTGTGACTCATCAGCAGAATATCCCTGCATTTTAGTTTTAGTATTTACAGTAGGATTCTAACACAGTACTTTGTGTTTCAAATACAAACCTTCGAATAAATTTGTTTAAGGTTAGCCTGAAACGTTTAAAACATAGTTATTCATCAATTCGGTCCAATCAGCTTAGAATGTAAATTATTTCGGAATATCTTCTAACTTTGCATTTTTTATACTCTCATTTACTCACCATAAAACTGTTTCGTATGGTCCAGATTGTTACATTATCACATTCTCTCTATCACACACAGAGAAGCACACTTTTCAGTGCAGTTCCCTATGCTTGTCAAGTTTCATATAAAAAAACTTATTTGTCAACAAAATTTTTAAACATTATTCTGTAATTCAATTGAAATGGCCATTAAAGTAATTATTCGTCTTTCCAAAATTGTCTTAGTAAATGCAACCTTATTTAACATTTTAATCATAATTGAGATCTTATTCTGTGGGCAAAAAAATAAGACCAGTAGATGCGCATATATATTTTACTAGAGTTATTACTAATTTAGTGGCTTAAGCATTCTCTTAATGAAATTTTTCAAGTTATTTTGTGATGAGCCAATAGATTTTAAGATAATGACTATAAAAAGTGCTCCCGACCATTGTATGTTTACATATTGTTTCCAAAATAAAACTACTTAGAAATTTTTGAAACGTCTTGGATTGAAGAGGATAACTCTATAATGTCATTAGGAAGTGAAAATGACATTGTGTGATTGATTGCGTGTCCAGTATTCTTCGCCCTTCTAAGTTAGGAGGAATCGACAAGATACGAAAATTAAACCTATATGTCGGGCTTATTCGGGTTTTACTCACACAAAAAGGATGTTGTCAGTAATGTGCGGGAAGACAACCGCTAACGCTGTACAAATGTAGATAAGATAGATTTACAGCTATGCCATTTTTCTACCAAAAAATGCGTATACGTACACAAAATACAGCATCTATTTAGGTCTGCTAAACCACTGTTGGTGTGTACCAAACAATTCGGACATTACATGGTAGCTGGCCAAATGGATGTATTTGATCTTTTGTGCCATAACCTCTGCTTGAACCCAAACCAAAAACATTTTCATGAATTCATTTAAGAACAATCATTGATTAGTTTCATAATAGAGATTCCTAGTGAATGTGACTAAACTTGAATTAAATAAACTAAGCAATGAGTTTTTGTTGTATTAAGAAAACCAATTATGACTTATTTTATCACTCGCTTTGTACAGTGCAGCATTTTATTAAAAAATGTATTCAGGTGTAACACTTATTCAACCAATACTAGTAAATATGTTTTACATGACATAATTTGATATCTTCACAAAAAATAGTAGCACGGGTAATAATATTGACAACTGGGTAGTTACGTTACAATAATCTAGGTGATCTGTATTTGTTATATGCGCAATTTAAACGTATCTGGTACGAAACGAGAGTGAGATTCTAACCTGATTGAATAAATTGAGATGTTATATACCTTATTTTTCTGAAATTTTAGTAAAAATCATATTACGTGTCTATATTAAGCACGATTTAACAATTCTGTTAATATATGTGAATATTTTTAATCATCATCAGTGGCATCTGGATTCTTCTGTCTAACCGCATTAGTAACATAAAACATTGGCTGAAAACAATTATGTATCATGGTAAGTGCAGTCATTGTTGGACTACAAAGTCTAATAAGCAGTTTTCAATAGCAAAACGGTCGTTGAAATTAAAAAACCTACAAGGTGAACTTTTAATATCTTGTTAAAAACACGGTTCGTTTTCAATCGACCCGTTAAGTTTTTCTTAAACATTTTATGTAAGTATAACACATATAAGGGTATGGACTGATAAAGAAAATCATATTCGAGAGTTTGTAGGAATATTTAAATTTAGAATTGGTCTACAAATTTGTATTTCTCTGTGTAAAGAATTCTTAGAACTAAAAAAAACCTTGACAGAAACTCTAATCTTTACATTTCTATCTGGCTTTTTTACGAAGAAATTTTTTCATATGGTCATTTGCAACAACCTTTTTACCACCATGTTAATTATGAAGAATAGTACTTTACAATATTCCAAATCACTTATATACGCAACGATTTTGATTTTTGTTCAGACCACAATTCTACACTTAGGTGACTGTAAACCTGTAATTCATTAACTAGGCGCATTTTGACTAATGAATTTTAGAGATCCCATCATTTCGTGATGGCAAAGATTAACAAAGTCCTTGTGATTTATGAAGTTAACCCAATTTAGAATGTGAAACATCGGAAAAAGATTTTTAACAAGATGTTACCGAACGTGTGCTTATCAGATATAACCAGTCCAGGTGTGAAATAATAAGGAAGTCTGAGTTGTTTATGAGATAATGAGATATCTCTTTTCCACGTATGGCAAACATGAAACGAGTATAAAAAATGGAAGTTCTGAGGATTCATGACCTTACGATAAAAATACGACCGGACGTTTAGGGTTTTTAAATAGTTCGTAAATAAATCTTGTTATATTTCACGTTTCAAACGACTTGGATTACTTTTGAACTGTTTGATGGTGTAAGGAAAAAGGGATAAATAAAATAAGGAGAATCTTTCAGCTAACTTACAGTAATCGGTCCCCGGCTGTTGTTAAAGGCTGAAGACATTGAATATCCTAAAAGTGCACCATTTAGTCCAGGTTGCATATGAGTCTCTTTTTCTAGATCAATATCGATTCGACTACACGTGCTCCTCAAAAGTGGACACCAAAACAGTCCACCGTTGTTTCCCTCTGTTGGAGATCCTATGACCACTCTATATAAACATAAGAATATGTAAAGGATGAAGTGATATACCCTTTCTGTCCTGAAAAGTGAGTATATCCCAATAAGGAAAAACCAAAACTAGAACCATCTGGTCCAGTTTTGAGGAGTGGAGATTTTAAATCGATATTGAACCCATTTACTATTGATATGTACTCGCCCAAACCATAAATAAGAATGGCTATTAAAACAATAATCCAATTAAATCCAGTGAGCATTGTTTTCTCATTCGAACAGTGAGGGGCTTTCTAATTACAGCTCTACCTTGATTTTCTAAGCGAACAAAGCTTGCTCAATATCCAATAACTTAGTACTGATTTCCGTAGCTTCAGCTTCAACCTGTCACATCAAATTGAAAAGTTAACAATATAACTTGATTTCCACATAAATATAGATCATTTTTCTCAGTGTACGTTCAACTTGTAATGCCGATGAAATGTCATTGAACCCAAGACAAATCATTCGGGATTTAATTCAAGAAGTACGAATACAACTTGAAAACATGTAGATTGAATTACAGTGTAATCAAGAAAACAATAAGTTATAACGAATAGTCAACTTTTCACACCAAAATTTTCAGTTGAATAGTAACGCGAATTTTATACGGGACAAATAACTTTTTTGAGATTCTTCACGCATTAAGCTCGCGGTTGGTGAATTTGAGAATGTAGCGTTTATTGGTGAAAAACGTTTGTCTATCTGAAGTTGCTGGAACAATAGTTTTGATGGTCTTCATCGTTGATAGTGACCCAAATATTTTGAGTGGACGTGAACAGTAGTTATCAACACAGATGTTGTGGTTATATCACTGAAACTTCCTTTGTCTAGTCAATTCGTAATCTGCTTGTTAAGCAGTCAAATAAGGTTGTATTACTTAACAGAGAATATCAGTCGTATGATCAGATTTCACGGCAAGGGAATGAAATACAGCGAGGTTAACTATTATCGATTACTAGATCAGAATAAACGAACAAATAATGTAACAGACAGCTGTTTCATAAAGACGTAATAAAATTCAATCATACCTAATGATTATGATGTCACATTTCCCAACACTGAAGAGAACTGAGGTATCCTACTATGTGATAGTTGAGAAGACTAGTTCATTAGGGTTTTCGGTGTCTCTTTACTTGAGCAACGATATGAGTCTTTGTGGTTTGTGTAGAATGGCTGAATCAAGTCTGATTCTCCAGAACCTCAGACCATTTACTGTCCTCTGCCTTTGGAGTCCATCATTTTGAATTACTGACGCCATAGAATCTAATGATATTGCTACCAAGCTGTCTAGTTTGCACCTAAAGCTATCGATAGGTATGAGGACGATTGATTGAACATGATCATCATAATTCTCTTGACCCCAGCCTGCATCGTTTATATTTAAACAGATTTCAACACGATCAAATGTATTTATTCAAAAACGTCAATCTCGATAAATACAAACAAAAACATCATCCTGTCAGGGATTATTTGCTGATGCCTGGAATGTAATATGGAAAGGTTTGAGTAACAGCTTCGGAAATCATAGATATATATGATCAGACAAGAGGTGGAATTTCATGTCATCTAGACTAAGTGACAATGAAATTGAGAGCGACACATCGTTTGTAAGCAACCGAGTTCGAAACAAAATTTTAACTTCAGTCATTCTGAGGACATTTCGGGGCGATATTTCATTGGCATAAGTGTAGAAATCTGAAGAGATATCGCCTATATGGGGGAGAGTATAATTACGTCTTGGACCCTCAGGAAGATTGAAGAGCAAAAACTTTTTTACTGGTTAGTAGGAGTGGTCGAAGAAATTACTCAAAGTGAATAATTTAGGCTTGAATATGACGAGAATATTTTGGGATTTCTTTTGATGAAATAAAACGTTATCACTAAACGAAAAAGTATTAAGTCCAACATTCTTCAGACTCTCATCATGTCAGCGTTTAGGTTCATTTTAGAAATAAGTATTTCAGGCTTTCGTCACAGAGAAGACCCTAGTGGGCCTTTTCTGTTTCCAGTCCTCGAAGCCAACTACAAAAAACAGTTAATGACGATAATTAACTGGATATTAAAAAAATATGTATTTCTAAAGATTTATCCTAAGTATTTACTGTACGTGTTCTTTTAAACTACGGCTTTTGTTTCACTGTTCTAATTATCAACATACTGATAAACATTAAATGAGCGTTTATTTGTCCAATGATGCCTTTACGTTTTATATTTCTTTCGTTCTTTATAAGCTTTATTTATACACAATCATGTCGAGAAGTACTTGTCATACATATTTATAATTTATTCTTTATAGAGTGACTTACAAATAAAAAGTACAAGTTGTGATACCTCTGGAAGTAGATGGCTTTTCAAAATACCAAAGGATGATAGAAAATGTGACCTTAACAGCTTGAGTTTACCAAGGAAAGTAGACAATTGTGGTAAGAAAGTTTTGATGTTGCTTCATTTTTCCAGAGACAACTTGTCCAAGTGGAATGCATCTTAACCTATTGTCACAGAACTGTGAGGTCTGTCCATCCGGAACGTATTCAACAGGTGATATGCTTGAAGTAACGAAATGGGATTCGATGCCAGAATTTCTGACCTCTGATACAACGTATGGAAGTTTAACTAATGAAAAATGCAACTTGTGAGTATTTGAAGTCTAAACATTGAGATATTTTAATACATACCTCTTTATTTCATGCTCTATTTATGAACATTGTTCCTGAAAAATATATGTAGCATTTAGTTACCATAGATAGGTGGTCAGTGATCTTTCATCCACATAATTTAATTTCACTTCTACATGCGTCAACTGTAACTTGTATATACTTAGTTGTAATGTAAATTTCCAGTTTTTAGTTCGATAAAGATGTCACCAAAAAGTACATAAATCAGTTTTCGCAGTTCTGTGCGGTCGATGGCATGACTTACCCTGCAATTAGCTTCATAGTTTTGTGCGTAATACATATCCACGAATTCATAGTGGAAGTTTAATTTAGTTACAACGAAGTACAGATTAAGCTAAGGCACTACATTTTTAAAATTGTGTTTGACCTGCTTTTTATAAAACAGAAGTAAGAAGTAAATCTAAGCATTCGCGATTACTCACAACGATAGAAATTTATGATGACAAGATGAAATACAAAGACTAATAATAGAGGGAAAACGTCTAAGCCATTCAAATAAGGTATTATGGAAATAACTAACGAGTAGAAACTGACAAATACAAAATATGTAATGCACATCATTACTGAACCAGTTATTTACAACGTCACTTACTTACTATGATCAGGTTGCAAGTTATAGCCTTGTCTGAGACAAGTTATTATTTTATTACTTGAATATTCATTTTGAAAGGATTTTGTATCAGTCTTAAGTCAGTAACAGTGGAGAATAAATCAAAGACTGAATAAAATGTTGAATATTCCTGATAGTCGCTGAGTATGCTTTAAACATCGGTCGTACAAAATCTTGTCACATCAAATACTTTTTGTAAGTTCAAAAGTGGTTTAATTCATGCTAAACACGTTAACAATATTTCAAGTTTAGAGGAGAGCTCTTGACTCTTCATAACACTGATGTACAACCCAGTAGTTTCCATTTTAGCACCATACAGGTCACGAACGCGCATGTTCACTGTTCATCGCACTGGGGATTCTCGCCTTGACACCTTTCCTGCAGCTTAAGGTTAATCATAAATTATTTACTACTTTAGTAGCTTGGTAAGCTTGATCGTGCTAATTAACTAGGTTGTCACTTTTAAAATTTATTAGACACCTTTAAACTGTCTTATTTGAACTTATTTAACTTTCCACCGTAGTGTACGTTGTAGCGTGGCGTCGAGTCGCGGTTGACTATGATCACCACCACAAGAAGTTTGCATACCAGATATCAGAAGGCGACTAGAGGTCGTAGCGAGATATATTTGTTGGCGATCTTGTGGTATCAAAAGAATACCGAGATCGTGCCAAAAGAGTACAAGCGGAATCACTGAGCAAAACGTAAGTGAGTGCAAGGTCACAATCAACAGAAGAATGTATGCGTTTTGGTACAGTTAAACAAACAAGTACTGTAAAGCAATCCGTGGTACAATTGGTTATAATAATAATTGTTTCCATCACACCAATCGCGTTCTCTTGATAAAAGTAGGTCACTATAACGTCTAATTTCATAAGAAAGAAAAGACTCATGTGGATGGACTGACTACTTGATCAGAGTGCCATTGATTATCTTCGACTTAGTTACTATTCAGCTTTTAGTGAAAGTCAGTCGTGATTACTGACCTGGAATAATTAAGCAAATATGGCTGTTCTGCTTGTCGATATAATATGCAAAGTGCTGACAATGAAAAAGCTCAAATCGGCATTTAGCTTAATTATTTTGATCAAGTTTTGTCCGCTTTATATTTCAACAATTCTTTGCCTACAACCTATCACCATCACTAAGATTTATTTCATCAACATAATTTTTACGCAAATTGAATATTAGGACCACATTGATATAGTCTTTCTGCACAGTTTTCAGTAATAATGTGCTAGTCTTGAACGCTATACCTCTTTTTAAATCTTTAGCCATGCATATATGATAACGCTGGGGTAAAATTTGTTAGCAACTGTTGTTCAAACATGTCGATAGCAAAAATTATCTTGCTTCAGTGAAGTGTTTTTATCTAGAGTTAAGTGATTATAAATCCTGAAATTTACTCCGGTTAATTGCGCTTAACTTCCTCTTTATGTCTTAATATTCGGCAGTCTGTCTGATATAATCCTCTAATTGTTTTCATGAGTATTGATTTCATCATATTCAAGTCAAATAGAAGCTGTAAATGACCTGAAAATTACTAGTTTTGTGACATTGTCTGCTACAAATGCGGTGTTATGGGGTAAGTGAAAATGTAAAACTATGTGTCTGACTGAGCTTTGAAGTCATAGCTGTGTAAGACCATTGATAACTTAAGACAGGTTTGCAGAACTTAGAGAATTAGTCTAAAAGTCTACTGGTAGTCAATTAGGAGCCACTTAATCTTGGTGTTCTGAATTTGAAATAAAAAGCACACCGCGTATTTAGAAAAAACAGTCATTCTTGCCTACCAGGGAGATTGTCTGATCGATTTTAAGATACATATATTGTATAGAATTGTTGACAGCACTGACAGATTTCCATTTTTGTTCGGATTTTCAAAACATGTGCCCAAATGTTATTGACTTATTGTTCTTAATTATGCTATGTTAACTTGATTTTCTTACTTTCAGAGTTAAAAATGTTTTTAAGATGTTTTGAGACTAACTTTAGACTTCAAAAGAAAGCTATCACTGCTCTCGTCGAATTGATATATGCTGATTGATTATGCTTCTAAAATCGTTTTCATCTCTAGATTTCACATACCATAACTTACTTGTTTTTCCATTTCCTCTCTAGGCTTATCAACCTTTATAGCCAGTTAGTTAGAATTTGTTTAGTGCATTCATTGGACTTGTTGCAGTTAGTAATATTGGTAAAAGTAAAGGAAATAGGAAACATGAGAACATTTTAAGGCAGCTGTTATTTAGAACACCGTGATGAGAATGTTGTAAAATATTTAGTGAACAAGCTTTACCAAGAGTTATCAATACAGACATTTAATTAACTAAATAGAAAGTAGCAAAACGAGTGATAATGATCGCAAAAAGTGCTTCGAACAAATACTTAATTCTAAACAGATTTAAAAAACAGATAAACTTACTAGATTTTCTTGTTGTTTACAAAACCGTAGTTTGATTCCATTTTGGTCGCCATCTAACCAAGATAGTGTAAATCGGTCTGTATATGATTTCCGTATTGCAAGTGTACAAATTGATTTACATTAAAGTGCATAGCTAATCTTTAAAGTGTTTTGAATTCATTTCATTTTGTTCTTAGAACCGGTTGGTCACCTCAAGGTAAACACCTAGTTGGAAAAACAACAGGCAGTTGCACTGTGATACTTTCAATGAAAGTTCATAATCTTAAGCCTGGAACAATAACGTTTACATATCAAGTTGAAGAATATGGAGCATTGGCTTTCTTTATTGTGAGTGATAAATGTGTGATGCATATATATATATATATATATATATATATATATACTAGTTTCATGAATTTGGTAACTTGGTTTTGCGCTGCTTGTATCTCTGGTTGTATGGACGTAGAAATGGTTGTTAGTTAACGTTCTCCAACTAAACTCACATATCTGAAATAAAAATAGTTCCGAACGCGGTTAGCATAACAAAATATGGTTGATTTGTCTACCAGCTTGGTCGTATATACTTAGCCGGATAATAATTTAACTTGTAATGGATTGAATTATTCCGATGTTGATATTTTGAATTTTTCAATACGGTATTATCTATAAATAATTTATATTGATATATAATGTTGTGTATATCAGTAGTTTACCAAGTACTTACAACTAAAGGTTGGGACTAAATTTAAGCAGGCCACAACATATCCGCTCAATATGAATAACCACTCAACATAAACTAACAACTTCATTTGAAGAATTAATTCTTGAGGTCATAATCTGTTGAGTAAGTGATCTAGAATATGTGTGTAAGAGTAGAAAAATATTACTGAGATTAGATAAACACAACATTATATTATGTGAGCGCATCAAACGTAAAATAACAATCACTAAGCTCTGACCCTGTTAATCAATTATAGCAAATGGACATAAATCCTTATCAATGTACTGAATTCCATCTCTTTAAGGACTAATAAGTATACAACACTGATAAGTCGCTTAGCAATATGAAGAAGGTATCCAGAACAATCTTTTTTATCATTGATTATCTGTAATTTTAGTTATCCTAAAATATGAAAGAATTTTTAAAGACTAGACAACAGTTAGTTATGAAGAAAGACACTTTTTTAAAATCCAACTTACATGTGAACCTGTAATTGAAATTTTCTTTTATTTAAACACATAAACATTGGTACAAGGAGGCACCAAACAGATAAGCGCCACATAAATCGTTCGATTTATGTGAAGGCTGGGATACTGCCCGGGTGCTCAAACCGAAGCAGGTGGTTTTTTAGACGGGTCACACCATGAGCCTTCGACTTGAAGGTCTAATCTACAAGGCAACGGAGTGACGTCAGGAGATGCAGTGCCATGGTAGCCGGTGAACAACGATAAGTTCATAGGCCATTTGTTCCTTCAGGATACTTGAATCCATGTGCAGCATTGGTTTTTAATCAGGGTTTACCAACTCCCCTAGGCGGACTCTCCTTGTCTACCAACCTGGTTAAAGCGCCGGATATTCATTTTCCATCCCTTCAATTTCGTAAACAACACCCCCGCCGCGAGAAGGCAGCTAGTAGGACTTCCCTGGCAGCGGTTGTATTCATGTGTTCATGTGAGAAAATTTCTAGAGAGGGAAAGCTGACTCTTCTCACTCTCGTCCATACCAGGGAATTTGGGGGTACTTTAAATAAATTTCATGTACTTATTTTCTAGCTATGAATATTCATAATTTATATATATGGGTTTCATTTATTGCGATTGTTTTGTTTAGTTTTATTTATATATAAACACTGAATTTAAAGTATGTTGTACAAAGTGAAAATAACTAATTTTTATATGAATTTGACTTGAGTAATTAAATTTATTATTATTATTTTATTATAAAATAAGATGTGATTTTCTTTAAAAAGTGACCTTCAGATTTAAATGTTTTATTTTGAACATTAATTTAATAAAAGTAAGAATTCAGTACAAAATTAAGAATTCAATGGATTTATGTTTCTTATTAAAGTTTCTTTTTTTAGAAGCTTATTGATCTAATCTTGATAACTTTTAACCATATAAAGTCCATCATCTATTCTATATGACTAGATAGTCGAAAAAACCAAATAATAGGTGCCATAAACCAGATTAAATAACATTGAAAGTTTAACCAATTAACCGAATGAATTAACTGAATTTTTTTTATAAAAAAATTGCGTACTCTTTAAGAATTACAGTGTCATAATGAAATTATCGGAAAGGAGTTTTGTGGAGATTGTAGTAATTTAATATTTGATTTCATGAATCGATGAAGGACCACCATGGAAAACCTAAAAATACAGGACGACCATTTCTTTCTAGTATAGATTTCCTCAGCAGTGCTCATCCACGGTCCAACTCGCAGGATTCGAACCCAAGACCTTAAGTTTCGCACTCAAACGTTTCACTTCCAGACAACTGGGCCGTCATCCGACGGTATTAATGTCTAACTTCGAGCATTTCATGATCTTGAGCAACCATTTATCCAATTCTCCTCAATGAGACACTGCCTCACAACAGACTCGCTTGAATTGTACTGATCATGGCTTCTCACTAGATCTCCAGGAAATGCCTCTTGAAGCCAGTCACTAGAGAGCACATGATATTCATTATCAGAAATGGGTTTTGTGGAGGTTGTAGTAATTTGTTAGTTGAATTCATGAGTTAAATAAAGCACTGCTGATGAGTCTCATACTAAGACGAAACGGCTATCTAGTGCTTCCAGGTATTCTAAGGTAGTTTAGCTTTAATCGACTCATGAATTCAACTATTAAGTAATGAAATTAATTAATCTACTGATAAATATTAAATAAATTCTTCTGTAAAAAATAGCAAATAGAATTACATTCTGAATAACAGCCATCAGTAATTTTTAAACTAATCAATCTGTCAGATGATTTTTCTTGATGAACATATATTTGTGTTAAAGAAATTTAACTAATAGTCAATGAGTGGTGAATAGATGTGTAGTTCTAGTTTTGAACTCTTCAAGTTCAGTCACTTTAAATGTTTTATTAGATGAAATTTTGTATTTTCAATTTGCAAAACAAGTATATAATCATTAAGATATCATTTTAAAATTCCCAGTTATTTTATGGTGATCTCTAATGGATGATGATAAAACAGATGCTTGAATTGATCATGTTTTTTTTAAAGAAATCATTCATTTTAATTGACGACTTAAATATTTCTGAAGTTATAACCAAGATGATGTAATGATTTGATAAAACATTAATTCATTTGTCAAGGTGATATTCTATTTTTCAGATAAGAAATGAACGATGTACACAATTACCCGGTGGGAGTTTTCTTTTAGGTCTTACCGGGTCGTATGCATATGAGACTGTGACATTCAGCGTTCCAGTCGGCCACAATATTCTTCAATGGTATTTACTTGTTGAAAATGTTTATATACAACAATTGTATGGATTAAAAGATCCTGAATTACATATTAAAGAAATTCGTTTAACTGGAACTCCACCAGTGACTGTATGTACGCCATGTGCAGCTGGCAGTTTTGGACCACGGGAAAAAGCTGATCGTTGTGAGTTATGTCCAAGAAACACATATTCAGCTGAAGGAGCCGAATCATGTAAATCATGTCCAGCAGATCAGTATTCAGGTAACCATAAATTACACTCGCTGTCATGTCTACCTGTTAAGTAGCAATGGTTAACTTGATTTTGTTCTTCTGAAGAACTCAAATAGGTAGTCGTAAAGTTTATGGCTATTCAACATAATGACAGGTTATATTACTTACTTACTAACTCCCGTTACCTCTCGTGGAAGAGCATAGACCGCTCAACAGTATTCTCCATCCAACTATGTACCCTGTAATCCTTTATAGTTGTTTCCCGTTTCTGTTCATCCTTTTGATATCTGCTTCAACTTCTCAACGCGGTGTGTTTTTTGATCGTTTTCCTTTCTTTCCCCTTCAGGAATTCAATATATCACTTGCATCGTGATGCAGTCTGATGACTTCCTCAATGTATGTCCTATCCACTTCCAACGCTTTTTCCTAATTTCCTATTCAATTGAAAGTTGGTTTGTTCTCTTCCACAGTAGGTCATTTCTAATGGTATCCGACCAACGGACATTCAGTATCTTGTGTAGAAAATCGTTTATAAATACCTGTTCTTCTTTGATGATAATCGTGGTGGTTCTTCAAGTTTCATCTCCGTACAGTAGAACTGTTTTGACGCTCGTATTGAAAGTTCTGGCTTTGTTGTTGGCTAACAGTTGTTTTGAGTTCTACGTGTTTTTAAATTGTAGGAATGTTGCCTTTACATCTACATTGGATCCTCCGGGTTCATCAGTAATGCTACCCAGGTACGTCAGTTTACACTTATTCCAGAGCTTCTCCATCAAGTATGATTGGGTTGGTGTTCTCTGTGTTGCATTTCAAGGTCTTACTTTTCCCATGTATGTTGAGACCTACTTTCTTGACTTGCATTTATTGATGTGTATGGGATAGAAAAGCTATCGTTCAGTTCCATCCAATCTGTCTACTGTATTCCGTGCTTCCCGTCAGATGTGGAAGTCATCATAACTCAGTCGACCACCAGAAGAAATAGAAAGGGGAAGAGTAAGCAGCCTTGTCTGACATCGGTTCTCACTTAGAATGCATCTGGAAGCTGTCCTTCATGCACAACTTCACAGCATAGTCCATCGTATCAATTGCGTATAATATTGGCGATCTTCTCGGATACACCGTAGTGTCAAACAAAGCTCCATAAGGTCCTCATATTCAAGAAAGTTGATGTACAGTGACGAATTCCATTCAATTGATTGTTCAACGATAATCCATAGTGTCGCCATTCGGTCTGTGCACGACCGATCTTTACGGAATCCATTCTGTTGATCTCGAAGTTGGTCGTCTACTAAATCCTTCATTCAGTTTAGCAACACTCTGTTGGAAACCTTTCCTAGTACTGACAGTAGTATGATACCTCTGCATTTTTCACATTTTCTCAGATCTCCTTTCTCTGGTATGTTGATGCGGTATCCTTCTTTCCAAAGTGTTGGCACTTGTTCTTCCTTACAAATCTTCTTGAATAGAAGGTGGAGCATCTTTGCAGTTAACTGATAATCCATATAGTAATAATTAGTTTAAAATTCTTAATTATAAGACACCCACATACATTATATTATATACTCAATTGGTTAAGTTTATGTATTAATTCAAGCGTGTATGAACATGTTAATTTAGTATGATGACGGTTATAGGATTTACTAAGTCAATATTCATCATATTAAAACAGAATCATTAATCGATATTTCGAAACAATAAAGCCTATCATACATACTTCCTGTTGGTGATTTTATATTTCCGAAAATTTATTTTTTGATGAGATTATGATATTTACACACTGGTCTGTTTGAATATTTCGCTTTAAATTTTAAGTGGCTTGGTACTCCCCCTTATCGTTGTTCAGGGCTGCAACAGTGAAGCAGTCCACTCAGGATACAGAAATAGCAAAATAAAATGATCATTTGCAGTTTTTAACAACAATAATAGAATATTTAAACACTTAAAACTAAAACACAAACTGGAGATTATTTGGATAGTTGACTATTGCGACCCAATAAATGAGCATTTTAGTCCAAAAGTACTGGGTTCGAGTCCTTTTGTGGACATCAACACGGTGATGTAAGTACATCCAGCTAACGAATCCAAACTGGGGCTTAACAAATACTCTGGATCTTACTGAAAACCACCACAAAGAAGTTCACTCAGAGTTCACTTTTCTTTTCCTTCCAGAATTCACGGTCTGCGGAATTCCACGGTTTTTGTATCGAATCTATTTTTAAAATATTGTTCAAATGAAGTACTAAATAAGACATGTATTATTCACAAGTGAATATTATGTTCATTATTATATAGGCGTAGAGAAAAAATAGGTGAAGTTGATTGCAAACTTTATTTGGAATTAAGTAGTTTTTGTTTGTCAGACAAAAGAAAGGATTTTATGAGTTATCTGACACCAATAACTCGTTATCAACGCAGGAGTTGACATGATCATTTTTAGTATGATTGACATACTGATCAGGCACAGACTTGTATATTTTGCATCAATCTAAACTTGAAGTGAGGTAGTTGGTAGTACTACCTAGTTCCCTTAACAGAAAGAGGTGGAATGGAATTTAAATACACTACTTGGTGGCTGGAAGGTGAACCCCTTAACACTTAGCAACATCTGCACTCTGATACAAACTTTTATGAGTAGAAGAATAATTTTGTGGATACTGGAATATAGTGAACTTAATATTATTATTAGTGAAAAAACCTTTGAAAGATGACAAAATCGTAAAATTTTAAGCTTTTAAGCATGATTCCATGTGAAGACATAGGTATACATTCTTACATTAGCATCAGAAACTATAAAAATAAGCAGTTATCCATTTCTTGCTATTTTACACAAGTTCGTCAAATGATATAATTTAGGGATGAATGACACCAAAGAAAATATTTTAAAACTGAATTAATTCCATAAATCAAATGTGAATTATGTGTACAAGTGAAATTTGTTGTTCTTTTTTCATTTAACGATGCTTCTGAGCCTATCTTGAAACCATTTTTCAATCAGAATTAGTTCGCTTGAGGAACAATCAAGCATTTACTAGTACATTAGTCTTAGGAAGCTTATTAGTTATACAAGGTTGAGGATCTGTTTTCGATTTTAATATTTTAACAATATCTTAACGGGATCTCATTTTTCGGAGTGAAAACAGGTTTCTTTCAGGATTCTTTTCATGTCCTAAGTTGTTTCGTAGAAACTTGTCAATCATTCGCGAAATCGCTATTGCGAAATTCACTTATGAGTTGGAGAGCTTTGATGGCTTTTAGATTTTTTTGAACAACACAAAGGATTCCTGAGTAAAAAAAATTTTAGAAATACATTTTGATGTTCAGTCCTTTAGATGAAAAGTGTTTGAGTCACAAAAAAGAGATCTGCACAAAATCGACTATACCCAACTGCTAACTGAACGATGTGCTAAGAACTATGTTATGTTTGAAATGAAGAGAACCAGTAATTAAAACCAAAGAGTTGAAGTGTTCCGTTGTCTGATTAGCATCATTTACATAGTTTCTGAGTAGTAGAATCATTCACTAATAAGAACTCAAAATGGTATGTGTTAAGATGACTTTAGAATAAATCAAAACGAAATTCTGAAATAACTGAACATGGTAGACAATCATAATTTCTTCACAGAAAGGTAGATAACTGAAATAGGTAGTATGATTTAATCAACTGGAATTTTTAAATCCTAAGAATTATTCTATCAGTGTGTATCCTTAGGCTTATTGAAATTCTAGTCTTTAGATAACTTCAGTCACTTTTTAATACATTCATGGATAAGTGTTTCTAATTTTGAATCTGTCTTAATGAATTTTTTAAGGTACATCTAGTCCCATTGTCCATGTGATTATTTGTTAATCTCTTCATATGCTAAATTTTGTTTTTCTTGTAATTTTCGTTTAGCTATTTCATATTTCACTGGCTTTTGCTAGTTTTCAGAAGAAGTGCGTTGAAAATATTCATGAATTCAGATTGTTCATAATGTAGAATTACTTCTCATTAAGTTGTTAAAATTTTATGATATGAAAAAACTCTCCAAAATCTAGAATACATATAGAAATCCTAATCGTTGTTTAGAGAGTATGCTAGTAAAATAATATTTGTTTCAAAAATGTGTCCTCATACCTATTTCAAATATCCTTGCTAAAATGAAACCTAAATCTGAACATCTTATTTATCATGACTCTATTCATAACTCCACCTATAGCCCTCGTAGACTTACTTCCGGTCCAAAGCCTGGATAAAGAAGGAGGGTCGGGAATGGGGTCACAAACTCCATTCTGTAGAAAAAAGCTTTGCTAAAGAAAAGGCTAGCCAGGAGAACAATTTAAACCATTTAAGCCCAGCCTTCTGCCTTGAAGTATTTCCATTCAGAAGAATTGTGCTGCCTCATAGTGAAAGCCGAACCTCAACGGGGATTATAGGGTCGATGTCTCTTCAGATAAACAGAGTAATAGCTAATGTAAGTAAATGGAATGTCCAGACATTGTGGTAGACCAGGAGGACCAATAAAATAGATGCGAAAATGAAGAGATGCAACTTGATGGTGCTCGGAATAAGTGGAACCCATTGGACGTAAGCTGGACAGAAAAGAGAAGCTTCGTGAGAGATCCTTCTGTACTTTGGTCATGAAGAAGAGAATGCCTCACAAAAACAAAGATTTGCACTGATGCTGTCCATATAAGCACGAAGAGCACTTATACGATGGGAATCTCATAGATCCTGGACCATCAGAGTATCTTTCAAAAACAAAGAGAAAGATGGTTACAATGAATATTGTCCAGTACCATGAATCCACTAATGATATCAATGAAGATAACACGGGACGACATAGACCAAGGGAAAGGAAAAAAATGGAGAGGGGTTTGCTAATGTATGTGCCCTGATCAAAATTGTTATATGTGGCACTATATTCGTCTACAAACACGCACACAGAGCTACATAGGTTTCACCGGATCACACTACACAGAACCAAACCGGTCATATTTTCGTCACTAAAGATTCTGAAAGTCAATGAAAGACATGAGAACCAAGAGAAGTGATGTAATAGCTTCAACTCACCATTTAGTGATTATCAAGATGAAAGTCAGTTTATAAAAGCACTGGTCAACTGGGGAAACAGTATTACAATAGTTTAAAACAGTCTTTCTTTGAGATACCGATAAACTCAACGAATTCAAGATAGTTCTCAGAAAGAGGTTCGAAGCCCTGCAAGACCTACTCGAGGAAGAAGAAACTAATGTGGAGAACAAATGGAAAGGGATTAGAGAAGCGCTAACTTCTAAGTGTCATGTGCTGGACTGCACCAACTACTGTCATGAAGAATGGATCTCTAGATGGTGGTTGGAGGTAGTCAACAGGAAACCCTGGACCCGGGTTTCGTGCTACTTGGCACTCGTCAGCAAGGTGTACCTGTAATCTTGAGGGAACTGGTGCTCCCTGGCGGATTCGATCTCGTGTCACCCAGCTTCACAGTTAGAGACGTTACCACTGAGCTATCCGAGCCGTGACTAACCTCCTGTAGGACTGAGATGTAATCACAATTGATTGATCACTGGGTGGTGACCAATCTCATGCTTGTCTAGTCCTTATTAGTGCAGATCGAATGCTATCGATCATGTTGCAATGTGGCCAGTGGCAGTGTCGAGTCACCTAGACTGGTGGCCACATTGCAACATGATCGATAGCATTCGATCTGCACTAATAAGGACTAGACAAGCATGAGATTGATCACCACCCAGTGATCAATCAATTGTGAGAATGGATCTCTATCGATATCCTAGGAAGTGTTCAAGAATGGACGAACAAAGAGACAGCAATTAACAACAGTCAGACAAGAAATGAGAACGTCAAGGAACAAATCGAATACACAGAAACAAACAAGGGAGTAAAGACGAGCGTCGGAGCTGACAGGCAGAAATACATGGAAGACCTAACAACGACAGTAGAGAAAGTTGCAAGAGAAGACAATATGGAAAACTATATAACAGTTCGAAGAAACCAACAGGGAACTATTATAAACCAGAGAGACCAATCAAGAAGTTTAATATTAGTTGATTGGAGAGGATCAACACTAACAACCCTTCCTTTCGAAAGGTTTAAGTCAATAAACATTAAATCAGATTCACCTTAATCAGTTGCATATTTGTGACTTAATCGATGGAATTCAATTTTCATTATGAGTTGGACAAACATGAAATTGGTTACTACTAGATTTTATTTTAAACTCATTTATCTAATAAGGTCTCAAAATACATGTAACTCACTAAATATGGATTTTCTGTGCTTAGCCTTTAACTGTACGGTTCATTTGAAGTCTAGTAATACTGCTGAGATGTCCAAATGAGATTTGGTACAATAGAACTCAAATACGTGACTAACCGGTAGGAAACCCAATGCTCTTCATAACTAAATCGCATCTCTAATTTTTAACCAATGAAACAAAACAAATACTTTAATCAAATTAGTATAATCACAGAAGGTTTGTTTTGTTTATTCAAATGATTAAATATGTCAATCTAATGATAATATTGTTTTGCATACTTAATGTACATTTGTGTTGTCATTGGCAACTGCTTAAGTTTTATTGATTTTAAACTGTTTTATGAAATAAACAGAATTGTTAACATCATTCTCAATAAAAATTAATAAAAAGAAAAATAATTATTTTATCTTATTTAAAATGACTCCATATTTTTCATATAGTTTTCCAAAATTACTTATATATATAAGTAACCATTATGAATAATTTTTAAATATTTTGTAGACATGACAACTAGTTTATATTCATGTATGAAAACAATAAAAAAAGAAAAGAAAAAGGAATAAACGTCATCAAATGCATTTGTTTAATTATTGTAATTACTTGTGTCTTATTTAAAGAGATTTTCTAAAATACTCAACAAGTTGACTAGCATGTGAAATTTTAATGTATATTTATGCAAAAACTAATTGGTGAATTTTTAATCGAAAAGTATAGCTTCTTTACGTAAACAGTAAAATTATGTAATAAGTAAACTCAGCTTATTTTTTTTTCTTTTTTTTTAATATTCATGATTGAATTCAAAACTTTAAAGAGTTACTCGATTTCAGTGTAAATTAATTTATATTCGAGTGTTGTTTTTTTCTCAGTGTGAGAACAGAATTATGTAAACCTACAGTATAAAATACAAAAGTTGAGTACAATAGTATGATGCCATTAACTCACAATAAAGAACGATGTTCTAGAAGAATCTTGTAATATTTTTCAGTAGATAGTATCAATGATCCAACTCATTTAAATCATTTTCATTTTATTCAGTGTAAGATTATTGAGTATGTTTGTAATGAATAATATAACATTTACCAAATATATTGCATCATTACAGTTAACTATTAGAAACAGATGAGTTTTGAGGTAATATTTGTCAGTATTGAACAAATAAATAATGTTTCACGATTAACTCAAATTGTGGTAAAGTCAATAAGAATTACTTCTAGACATTCATATAGTTTAGATTTCACCTAATCGCTACTGAAATATACTTATCGAAATAATGTGCTGTCGTGTGTTCCATTTTGAAGCTGTGAAACATTCAAGGTGGCAAGAACTTCTTTGATGATCAATTTTATTTATCTAACATTTTTGTGGAAAAACTAAGGTAGGATGAAAAAGTTAACGTTTCGCTTCGTTGTTGCACTCATCGCTTATACATTTTTGGTTTTTACTACGGTTAAAAATACTATATTCCTGTTGATTAGTTGACCTTATGATAAGCTAGATTTTTCACCGTATTATGAAGGTTATTTTGTATATATAAGCATTCATATTTACGGCCAAACTCTGTCTGCATAAACCAGTCATTTTTCCTCTCATAGTTCTTGATTGTAATAATTAAACATTAAAATAACTCCTATCCAAATGACTATTCAAAAGTAATAAATTAATCCTAAAAATACTTCAAATAAATGAAATACAACAAGCTTAGTGGCAACAATGATTATTAATATCGGATTAACGACTAATCATTTAATTAGATCAATCTTAAAATTTTTTGAACACATTCGTTAAGTTCTATTCAAAAATATTGTGTACACAAATAACGTCAAATATAACTTTGAAGTAGATAGAGATGGAATATCTTCAGTGTTAATTATTATAAACAACTTAGGGAAGTTTAAGAATTTTAAATTAGCAGCTATATCAATGATAATTTGACAATCAGTCGGTGGACGGTGGCCCAATTTCGTAGATTGGTTGAAGTTAGACATTAATACCGTTGGATGTCGTCCGACTCAGGGGTCTAGGGGTTAAGCATTCGCGCGCGAGACCGGTAGTTCCTGGTTTCCAATCTCGTGAGGCGAGACAGTGGATGCGCACTGCTGAGGTATCGCATACTAGGACGAAATGACCATCCAGTGTTTCCAGGTTTCCTATGGTGCTCTAGCTTCATTTGACTCATGAATTCAACTATTAAATTAATTGTTTACCGTTAATAAACTGACATCATTTTAAGGCGACAGAAATTTAGTCCCAAAAAAATTACTTCAGTTAAATGAATTTTATTCATTCAAAAACTGATTAATGATGGAATCATCAATTGTAATGGTATAAAAAATTAAGTAAGATTAAATCATTATTATTAAAAACTAGTAAAGAGTTTGCCTTGATATTTTATTCTCTTCATACATGGAACTTGATGAGTGAATGAATTAGAATGTTTAGTATAGTTTAGATGGAACTAAGTTTTTTTTATAGTTTTATTCATAAGTGTATAATAAAATGTTTTACTTTCTAACAATTAAAGGTAATGGATCTTCAAGTTGTAGTCCACGTCCTCCATGTAAGAAAGATGATTATACAAGTTATTGGACATCGTGTGATCAACAACAAATGGTAAGATATTCCTAATTATACAATCAAACTTTTGTAGCGGTTACATAAAATTCAGTACATTTTTAAGTGATCAATGTCAATAGAATGTATATTTTATTCAGAGAATGATATTTCCAATTATGAATTGAGTAATTTCATTGGGAAATTAAATTGGGACAGCCTTATATTAGTTTGAATTTTCTATTTTCTATACCATACAAACCATTTACCTTGATAATTAGTTCAGGACTGCTGGATCAAATTCTTTGGCTTTCATTATTGCTACATCTTTTTGAATCATTCAGCTTAGTAATATCAGGTTCATCTATCTCTCCCTACTTTCAAACATATTTTTCCTCTTAACCATTATCATATTCTCGATTTTGCTTCTGAATACATTACTTGAACTACTACTCACTTCTGTCATGTCTTCTGTATCTTCATAATCATGCTGATGTTAAAATGAACAATAAAGTTTAAACGATCTGCTTTTACTATTTTAGTAAACTTTATTTAATAATGACTATTTCAGGCGAAATACTTTATCCTAGAAAAATTGAATATGTCTGTCTATACTACACTATCTATATCATGTTAATCAATGTTTCAAATTGGTGCTTACTATGAATGACATAAGCATTCATCATCTGATGAATAGTAGTTAATTCGATCAAGGAAATATTTCTTTAAACTACCTGAATAAGTACTATACGCTAGTCGTTCAAAGAGTAGTAACTGTTTTTTCGTCTTGTTGTTAACGTTGATCTTGTATGTCTTGTGCTCACAAAAGTAATGAACTCAACATAATGGTGAACTTTATTTGATAGATTCAAAGGTCACTGCTCTTTGTTCCATTAAGTTTGATTTAGTTTTTAATCCGATCTCGATGTCAGTTCAATCACTTTATATTTAGCCTGACTATTATGATTGATTAGATCTACTTAGTCAACGGAATAAGTCACGTTAAACTTCTAACTATGTTATTTGACTTCAGTCAAAAGTAGTTTGAATTGCATGGAACGAGTTATTGATTTTTCATTAATCGAAATCAGAGTGAGATAATTCGGGCTAATGGATTGCATATTTTTTCCTTTGAGGTGGTCACCAAAGTTTGACAGAAACCAGTAGATTTTATTTTTATTTGGTTACTTGCAATCACAACAGTCATTTTCGATATATTGTCTAAATAAATGTATTTCAACAAGTTTTAAATAAATAGTTAAATAAAACAACTTCCATATTTATTATTGGTCGTAAGAGTTTATGCTTTCTTGTCGTTAATACTTGAGAGTGTATCTATCAAGCCCCCTTGATATATGAACTTGTTGAATGAAAATCTCAATATTATCCAGATTTGTATGTTGGTTATATTTTGGTTGGTGGTTAATCGTCAAATCATCAATTAATGATAAGTGTAATGATTATTGAAGAAGATATGGCTATTCTGATTCAATAACCTCATAACATGACATTATACCATTTGAGTTAACGGATAGTTAGTGAGAGTTCTAATGTGAACTTCAACATTGGGATTTAGACACATTCAACACACGAGTCCCAAATAAGATGATGATCTCTCCTTGAATTTTGCTACTGACCGCAATTTTATTTGATAATTTGATCTTCATGGTTTAAAACTTAGAAGAGGGTGATTTTATTTGAGTTTTATTAACTATATCACAGTTGTTATTCTGTTACGTACATAATACACGTTTCTAAATAAACTTTATTCAGTGAAATAGTTAATCAGTTTCTATGTGTATGTGTTTTCTTGCCTGTAGACACAACGTAAATGGAAGTGGATTGAACCAAAAATATGTGATGAAAATAGTGGTGTTTCTTTACCACAACCAGAGAGTCCAGTAGATTGTCACAAGTGTCCAACTGGTACATTTCCATTAGATGGTAATACATGTGAATTATGCTCAGTTGGTATGAAGAAACATTTATCAAATTTAGAAACCTGTGTTACATGTCCAACTAATGAAGTTCCAATGTATGGTTTACGTTTTGATAATTGGTATCGTATGCCGTCTATACTGAAATTGGACTGTTACAATTTCTTTGGTAAGTTATTAGTAAAACTTCTCATATGACAAGAATGAACCCCTGTTTTTCAATCTAAAAGTAACTGTGTTTGTAAAAAATTAGGAAACAGTCTAATCTCTTCGCTAATTAAGAAAGTGTATTTATAGAGTTTTAGCAACAACAAAGCAATTCGAAAATATGATGTTAGTGATTTGTTGAGTCATTATATAAATGATTTAACTGTAGAGCTCTTCCATTGTCAGTCTCTTCCATACCAATTCAAAAATTTAAACTTACAGTTTACCAGTCAGACTGAAGTACAGATCTCAATAAACGACAATAACTGATGAGTGACACTAAATAGCGGTTTTTTTACTAAAATTTATTGGAATAAAGATAATGAATATGACGTTTATCACCTTGTAAATGGTTTCAGGATTATACTTTCAACAGTTTTATTAAAGCCTAGAATCGTATATTTTAGCTTTATGGTATTTCGGAATGGTCTACATGTATTATTAAATTCTCACATAACTACTGATAACTTGAAATTTTATTTATAAGTGTTCGGATCGGTTGGTTTTAAGACTACAGAAGTATAACGAAAGATATCTCCTACAAGAGCTAGACCTAATCAGTGGTAGTTTAATAGCTGAACTAAAAGCAAGTTTTGTCATGGCTTTAGTGAAACATATTATATATTGACTTTCATATGATAAAGTTAAATCGTAGTTAATGATCAAATGGAGGATGTCGATTCTTTCCTATTTGGGCTCATCAGCTGGATGCATTCTAGTGTTGATAGTTATAGTAAAAGTTGAATCTAGTTCCTACCTCTTCAGACTTTAACGCATAAAAAGTTATGTATGTAATAGCTTGCATTATTATTGTTGTATTTAATAACAACAATGCAAAGTACGATTCCCAACAAATAAAATGATCGTTTATTAGTTTATGCGTACATTAACTGATTTTAACATTAGATTATGTTGTTGATTAATTCATTTAAGGGACGAAATGTAATACATGGGAACGTGATCTAACATTATTACGTGGTGGAGTTGGCATGCATTCAGATGAATTGGCAACATTGGAACTCCCAATTAAGGATGGTTTTATTACAGCATCAATAATTGATTCAACTGACGAGTTTTATTTTTATTTTCAACCACCTATCTCTAATACATTTGTACGTATTGAATTTCAATTAGATTGTGTTGGTAGATGCCAGTTTTCTATGAAACAAGTAAGTTATTTTATCTTACAATGACATTACACAATAACAATGGACATAATTGAATATTTATTTTATGCAATATTTAGTTTGTTGTAAATATAAATGATAGATGTTTTATTTATTAAAAGGAAATAAGAGTATAGGACAGTGTATGACGTTCATTTATTTTCGCATCTGCCTCATGAACATATACAATTTTCCGTAAATCAATGCAACTTGTTTAAAGTCCAGTTTATTGCTATATACTCTATGTGAACGAATTTGTTGTCTGTAATCAACAAGGAGCATTAATCCAAAATCATTTTTAAGAAAACTTTCTAGAAATTTGAGTTTCAAGTTAAGCGATTATGACCCTTCGAATTGTTTAGATTTTGTGGCAATAATATCAAGTACAAAGTGTTGTTGAACACCATTAATGAGTTATGATAACGGGCATAAATTATAGGCTAACATCACAAATTGACTTTAATTAGATAACCACTGACGTATGGAAGTAACTGATAAATGTTGTATTCTAGTATGTGACTCTTTAGCAGTACACAACCCTGATCCTACCAGGGATTAAACCTAGCACCTTCAAACTTCTTGACGAAAGCTTAGCCATCAGACTACTAGATTGGCATTTAATGACTATAAAAAATTCTTAATGTTGAGCAGAATTTAGTCAATATAAATAATAGTTTCTATCTCATAATGGCTAAACTCTAGTGAATTCGGGAATTTTTCTCGAAGTTAGTCACTTTTAAGTGAATCACAATTATTAGAATGAAATTTTATAAACACCACTTTTCATTAATTTTCTTCATACAAGTTCAGTATGCTAACAGTTAGGTATGAACCAAAAAGATAAATACTGTAAATCTATATCAGCATTCACACTTTATGGATTCGTTATTCCAAATCAACCATATTTGAAGATAACCTGGATTTCATTTTTACATTTGTTGCAAAAAAAGAAAAATCGTTCCAATCTATAAACATAATCGTTCCATGTCCTGACCATCAATCTTGTTTTATGATACTAGCCGAACTAGTTTTTATTATTCTTAATTATGATGAAGAAAGTATATTTTTCATACTAGTTGAAAAGAAATTTTTATTAAGAATTATTATTCAATGTTCATTTGTTTTTCTCCATGGTATCATTTGGTTTATTGTTTTAAAGTTGTTAAGCAACAGTGATATAAATGAAGAAGAAAAAACAACACCCAGGTTATTGATATTTTTTATTGTACAATCCATTGGTCAGTGACTATAACAATAATACTTATTATTTACTTAAATAAATGACCTTGCTTAAATTGTATTCAATTAGTTCTGGTCACTAATAATTTACATTCAAGTAACCACTTCAACAGATTTCTCAGTAGTAATAACAAGTATTTTGTTTGTAAATGCTTGTTTACTACACAATAAGAATGAGAATTTATGTTGATACTGAACAAAAATGTAGAATTAGGATATTTTATTTGAATAATATGTGATATTCATTACGAGAATATTAATTGAATGGGATAAAAATAAGGAGTGTCTTAATAATTTATAACTTATGATATCGATGGGATTATCTGTGATATCTCATGTTATCAACAATAGAAAACCGGATAGAGGGGAGATAATTTAGTTTTATTTCAGTAATTATGCATAACAGTTTTATGTAAAGTAAAATTGATGGATTCTTTGATGCCTAAATTTAATTATGAAATCTTAAATGATCTTCATATATAAGCAAAGATAGAATAGTGGCTAGCAGTGGAATCCAGGATGCGCGTTTCGTAGTATTTGGGAGTCGTCAGCCGGATGTCCCTGCATCTTAGAGTTAATGATCACTCTGGGGCTCGAACCCAGTACCATTCGCTTCAAACTCCATCGCATTATCCACTTAGCTACTGAGTCCTGATGGCCACTTGCTTGTGTAATGGGGTGAAGTTTAATTTAATTGGTATTGTTTTACTTGAATCTTCCCATTGATGTTTGGGACAGGAATTGATCAGTCTCTCCCAGAGTGACCATCAACTCTGAAATGCAGATACATCCAGCTGACGAGTCCCAAATAGGACGAAACGCGCATCCTGGATTCCACTGCTAGCCACTATTCCATCTTTGCTTATAATCCTTATAAATTAAGGCAATATCGAGGCAATACGCACAGTATGCATATGTGCCAATATGGGACTGATCAATTTCAGTCCTAAAAATCAATGGGAAGATTCAAGTAAAACAATACCAAGTGAATTGATCTTCATATACTTTAATTTGAGAAAAAAAAGAGAAAATGGAGTGAAACAATTTAATAAATGTGAACCTTACGTCATTTCAACTAAACTATTCTCATTGAATTTTGATGAGTTTGTTAATTATGTACCTTCATGCAATGTCATGTTCCTCAACTTACTGATTACTGTGTGGTGGTTCAGATTAATATTGAAACGTGAAATAACTAATTTGTTTTAAAATATTAAGATTTGTAAAATAGTAATAAACTTTACTGACACGATATAAAAGTTGCTTAAATTGTTGTCTAGTGCATTACAATGAAATTATGACTTCATAAGGTTATCTTATTTCCACGCTAATTGAAGTCATCTTTATGATTTTGTAAACTTACTTTGTTTATAGTCATTAATATTACCGTAATGTTTGTTTAAAACTGTAAACTCTATTGACTAGTGTAGCATTCACGATAATAGGTGTAAAATTTTCAGAGTTATTATTCAGTTATCTAATTTGATTTATTTGACAAACCTCATATTGTAATTCATTAGTCTTTAGTGTCCATTCTCTAACTCCGATATCTTTGAACTATATTGGAACTTATAAAGGGTATAGTCTATTAAACCTGGTATGTCTTATATCGACTATTCATGTTAGTGCAATGTAGAAATAAAGTGTCGAATACAAGTTCGTTTTAGGATATATGCATTTCAAACATTCATGTGAGCAAGCAAACTGGCAGATTGATTATGTTAGTTGAGTATATCCAAACAGGCGTAATTGTAAACACCTATTCAATGAATAATGAGTGACTTGCTCGTTATATAAAGTGAATAATGTATGAACTAATGATAATCAATTAGGCATACGTAGTTTGAGCGCAATTAATCTGAATAATTAACATGAGCACAAATGTGGAAATAGACAAAGAATAATTTGGACGAATGAAAGCAGATGTGAAAGCATACAGTGTAATCGATAAACTTGTAATTAAACATACAAAAATCAGTAAACCTTTAGACAACAGTTCCTATTAGCCTGTTATATTAATTCACCATAGGACTTTAATTGTTTATGAATGAGGCGATTCAGATCAAGGTAGTCAAACAATAAAGAATTTTTCAACACCTTGTCTAAGTTGCTATAACGCTTTTGACAGATACAGTATCATTCTTCATGACTGTATTGTTATTACCGAGAATTCCATTTTCCCCTAGTCAAAATATATACATTTCTTTTAAAAAATAAGGTGTTTTTCTGTTCAAAATACTCTTGTACTTTTATAATCAGTTTTTTAATTCACATAGAATAACTTGAATAAAAAGCTACTTTCAGCCAGAAATGTTTAGAGTGGAGTCGAAACTAGAATCATGTTATTTCTAACTACGAATCACAGTTCTTATTCACCAAGTTTTGTTTTGAGTTTCACTAGGGAATTGTAAAAAGAGCAGTTGTGTAAACTTTCAATCTAATGAATCCTCATAAAGTTTTTGATATTTGTGATTTATTCAGATAACTTGGAAGAAATTGATTTAGGCTGGCGATGAAAAGTGTTCGATAATTTTATCGTAGTCATATAAATGTTATGTTGTGCAGTAGCATGACTTTGCTACTGAGGTATACGTCTTCTGTATGTGTGCCCAAACCAGATACTTGAATGAGAGAACCAAGAGTGGGTAGAAAGCTTTTATTAGGCAACCGAATCAAAAATATTTGCACAACTCATTCATAAATATCCATCTCTTCCCCTTCATAAAAATAGCCACATTTCCAACCAATATATTGTGTATGCATGACTGCTTGTTAGCTTTAAGGGATATCGTCACTTAGATAGGTACCTGATGACATATATCTTTTATCAAACTTCTAATAAATTATATGGGTTTAATGTAACTTTTAATTACTATGTCAAACACTATGAATGAAACCAGCAGTTTACATTCATACAAAATACTAATGGTAATTTTCATCATAAACTGACCGTATTTGAGAAACTGTAAAACATAAGGCAGCCACTAAACAATTGTTCTCTCCTACAATAAAAAGTCTTATTTGTCCACGTCTACGTTTTCACATACGATTAGTTCTACAGTCTTTAAACTGTGTGGTGACCATAACACCTTTAGACTAAGTTATTATAATTGAATAGATCAAATTTTGACTTTTGGTCAATTAGCGATATTCAACAAAATTTATCCAGTGAGTTAGTTGTCTCAATTATTTCTAGTTTGACTTTACAGATGAACAGGTCTTTATCAAAACTTAAGTAATTTCATTCTAAAAGTACTTTTAATGAATTTAATTGTTTAGTGTTATCGATTTGTTTAATATGTTTTGGAATATCCTCTAGTTGTCAATGGATCTCTTGGCAATCTCAATTTTTATGACATAAATTTCTTTCAACATGTCATTGTGAGCAAAGATGAATGGTGGCTAGTAGTGAAATCCAGGACACGTGTTTCGTAGTATTTGGAACTCATCAGCTCGATGTACCTACATTCCAGAGTTGATGTTCACTCGGAAACTCGAACCCAGTAACGTTCGCTTCAAACACCATCAAGTTATCCACTTAGCTACTGAGTCCTAATAGCCATTAGCTTGTGTAATGGAGTGAAGTTTTAATTCATTTTTGTATTGTTTGCCTGAGTTTTCATATTGATGTTTACGACTGATCAAATGCAGTCGTAAACATCAATGAGAAGATTCAAATAAACAACACCATGTGAATTTCAAAATATCTACAAAAAATAACACAGCTATATAACTAAAACTAAACTAGGATTCATTCAAAATTGTATTTATTTTATTTGTTGAGAATTATTATTAATTGTTTTCACTTAGGTTTTTGTCGCTGGTAATGAAAAAATGATTGCTATCTGGGGTGGATCATCAAACCGAAGAAATTTCACGTGAGTTATTGAAAACTGAATAGTTACTGTGAAATGTTTTAAATACCATTGTACAGTTTCAGCTTGTGTTTATTTAGAGAATAAATATATATATATATATATATATATATATATATATATATATATATATATATATATATATATATATATACAAACATACATACCACTGAGATGGAATTGATAATTTGATTTGGTGAATAAAAAATTCATTGATTAGTTAATTTTGTCATATTGTATAATTAACAGTATATTATACTATGAATTTTATAGTCTTCCAAGTGATGTTGAATAAGGTTAGAGAAATATGCAAAAGAACACACTCTTTTTGAATTAAATATTAGATCATATAATTGACAAAGTTCATCTATGTCAAGAAGTTCGAAATTATTGACTTAGAAGTTGTCTCACAACTGGTACAGTATATGCTTATTATGATCCAATGTTAGTAGTTAGTAACAAAGTGTTTGATCACAGTTCAAACATCTAGGTGAATGAACTATTTATCTTTAAGTCTTAGTAATAACAAGTTCATAAACTACAATATCATGTCAGTATAAGGTTTAATGGGGATTATAGAATTCGTATAGTTTTTTTTGGATCACGAAATTATTCTAACTAGATCACCATTGAAAACCAGGCAACCTTTTCATCCTCGTAAAATACTCTTTAACAATATAGATTCACAACCGTATATTGAGGAATCAAACTCAGAACCTTCTGTCTCTTTCGATAACTCGTAACTTCTAGATCATTAAGCCATCATTCAACGGTGTTAGTGTATAACTTTATTTAATTCACGATATTATGCAACTATTTACCGTCGCATATGATAGATAACTGTCTAACACTCAACATGGCCGAAAGCTACTAGTTACGGCTTTTCTCTAGAAGCTTCTTGCTAGAAGTCAGTTGTTAAGATGTTTGGGTATAGGATGAATGGTCTAGAGGTTGAACGTTCGCAAGAGACTGAGAGTCTCGAGTTCAGTCCACATTTTCAAGGTAGTGAGTATGTACTACTAGGAAGTCCTATACTACATCTTAGCTAAGAGATTTGTGAAATGGGACAGATTTACGGTAGATGACACTGGATCGTTGTCGTGTTATATTAAGAAGGATTAATTAAAAGTGATTCTTGTCATTAGATGATAATAAACAGTTTAATCTACTAATATTCATTGTAGTACATATGTTGAGTGTAAGGGAATAATAATGGACACATCATTTTTAAAAGTTGGATTATATATATATATATATATATATATATAATTTCGTAAAAACTGTTAATACTCATGTTTTGTTCGATGGTGAAACCACAATATTTATAAATTTACTTACTATTAAAACCGATTAGGTTCACAAATGATGTTAACATGTTATAGGTTGATTTATTAACAGTGTTCATTTGTAATGGGATCATTGTGTGTTGGTTGATTGTATTTGTTTATATAATTGAATTCAGTAAATTTCTATTCAATGTTTTTGCTTGTCATTTGAGATCTAGTGTCATAATTAATATGTTAACCAATCATTTTTATTCAATCCGGTGACGATGTGGTAGTTCTATGCTATAGATGCTGTATAACATTTAACTTGTAGAAATTTTTAATGATGATACTACTTAATAACAATCATCTTTATGAATAACAATGCGTTTGAGTGTATTCATTAAAGGTTGAAAATTATATGTCTATTTATACCTATTTTTTAGGTAAATACGTTAATTTAACAACATAGTTTGGATAAACTTTGCTTTTTCATTGCATTATCAAAACATGTTATGGTATTACTTACAAGTAGTATTTAGTTATCAATCATGGATATTTTCTGTTATCAGTTGTATTACGATTTACTGTTTTCATTTTTGCTCGTATTATTATTATTATTATTATTATTATTACTATTTATATTATTATTATTATTAATTAGGTATCATATAAAAGATGCAAGTGAAGTTACATTTAAGTGGATTTTTGAAAAACCAAGTTCACCAATTCATATACAAGATCATGTAAATATTTATCAAATTGAAGTAACCAATGTAAAAAATGATAATATTATCGGATGTCAAACATGTGTTCAAGGAATTGTCAATGGAAAGTACGTAAATAAGATGAATAATAAACTAAATGATGTTTTATTTATTTATCTGCTTTGTTTTTCTTTATTTTTCGAAAGAAAGAAAATAAGAGAAAGTTCAATGATAGATTATTTTTTCTATTGAATGATCATTAGATCGTATTCAAATGAATTATTCATATTATCCATATGTAGATAGTTTTTGAATGACATAAGATTGATACAATAATAATAATGATTATTAACGTGCCAACTGGATGAATGTATGTTGTTAGTGATGTGTCTATAGTTTTATAGTTGTCTTATTCAAAACTCAGTTTATTGAAAAACATTTTTATTACAATTTTATTTATCTTTAATTACTAGGCTTTTTGATCAGTTCTCTAATCACCATTATTTCACTGCTGTAAGTCGTACCATATATATGTAGTAAATAAAATATTGCAGAGTATGCTACCTCACTTTACATACATGTAAAACTTTAAAAAAAATCACGAGTTAACATGATATCTGTCGACACTTTAGAGTGAAAAGAAACAATTACATTATGATTCATTAATTCCCTATATACTTACATATAATGAAAAGAGAAACAAAGTGTTATTACAACTAAAATCATAGGAACTCTTATCACAACTGACGGCTGAGTGACAAATATTGTTCATTGAAAACCATTAAAAAAAAGCAATAAATTTTTAAGTGATCACAATTTGAGTGTAAATTTAAATAAGAAGTTTATTACAACATCAATTAATTAATGCTGAGATTTACTTTTACCGTTACAGTATAGATTGTACTAAGTCAAGTTATATTTATTATTGTAGGTATGATCTAATAACATAATAAAAATCATTCAAATTTATGAAAACATTCTCTATTTAAGTAATTGACACTTTCTTTTAAAATAAATCTATTTGTTACATTGAATAAAATTCAAATTACACTGTTATTAATATTTATTGGTATTTTAGCTGATTTTTTTGGTGTTAAAGTTTTGTTTTAAATTAGCATTATTAATTTTATAATCACCATGACAACATATTTGAAGATATTTTAGGAAAAGCTTTAAATTTAAGCAAAAAAACGTTGCTAGATTAAATTTTTGATTAAGATTTATTATCTTGAATTTATTTGACGAATCAAGCATACATTTTAAGCAAGAAAAGAATGATGATATTTACTTTAGTAAATTAGCATGTGTTCAATGCTATTTCTATCACCGTTCTACCCCAATTTCTTTGTCACCTCGGTCAATGTGTAATATGATGAGATTGTCCAGCAACTGCGTTGTTTAATTGGTTAAAATTAAACAATTCAGAGGCATTGTACATTCGATCAGTTCTAGACGCCACTCGGTGTATCGAATCTTAAATGATCGCTATCCGTGAGTTTAAAGCGCTTTATATTATCCTGGGACTCATTAGCTGGAGACACTGTGAAAATATTATGTAGTATTGCTTATTGTGTTTTGTTGCGCAATGAAGTAAGCTTCATTTTAATAACTTATGTCGTATAGATTAGCTGTATTAATACTAGTCCAAAAATTTCATAATATTTCTTCAATTCACTTTTTACTAGGTTACCACAATTATGTTTATTAGATGGATTTTTATTTCATTTTTATTTGAGACATCTCAGTAATGAATATCCAAGCCTATGCATGGAACAGAATTTAAGGCGTACAATTTCTGCGATAATCACATTAAACTTAGACTGCTGAATTATAGATGTTTTGTATATCATCAAAGTCCATTCCACAATCATTAATAATAGTAATATGAGTGTATGTGTATGTACTAGTTTATAAAATAATCAATTCTTATATTTTACATCCAAAATGCTTGCATTAATTTATTATGTCTCTCTCATGACTTGAGAGAAACATTGTACTGAATTTCTAAGTTTGACATATTAGATTAAATTCATCATCAACAAATCATCAATTATTGTACGTGTAAGTACTTTGAAAAAAAAAGGGTACAAAATTAATATGTCGTGTAAATGAACATTTTAACAGATCAACAATAGATTAGTATTATGCTTTCTTTGATTGAATTGTCTAGGCATCATCAATCTTATTTTTCTTGTTTGGTGTCGTAAAGATACTGATTAAAACTTTTTATAAGACAAGAGAATCTACTTACATGTGATTAAGTTGAAAGATATGAGTCATTTTGGTAACATTTAATTATCACAAATAATCGATTTTAATAGAGTCTAATCTAATTTATAATTCAACTCTCGTTTATAGATGATGTTATTTGTTGAATTTTCAAGTTGTTTTTTTAGTTTTTGCTACGTATTGACATTAGAACCAGTGAAAACCAGTTGCATTCTAATACTGAAATCTTCAGTGATGAGTATTCACGATCCTGTTGGGGATAATCTTCCCGCTAAACAACAAACTAAGCGTTCTAGGGAGCTTGTAGAGACTGTCAAAATTCATGTTTGTTTTTTTACCATAGACTGTTCTTAATTAGTCATCATTAAAAGCCAGGAATCATGAAATACGTGGTTTCTACTTGTATGATATTCCTTATCAATGAGCACTCATGACCAGAACTTTCGGATCTCGTGGTGAGGACCTAACCTTTCGACCAATGATTCGGATCTAGTTGTCTAAATGTCTAAATTCAATCGATTTACAATATTGCACAGCCATCTCTTAATACTATCAGTGGGAAAATAATTCACATCCGACATGACTGAATCTAACTAGTTACTGCTTCTCTCTAGATCTTTGGTCATTACCTCTCGAAATCAGTCATGTTTGCTATTAATATAGAGTTTTTGTTGAGAATGTTGGACTGTGTGATTTGCATAATATTGGCATTACGTCCACTTACCTATTGCTTTATGTGTAGTCCTGAAGAGTCCTATACTGAAGCTAAACGTCTACATCTGATTTTCAATGACATCTCAATTAATGCTAGTCTTTTTTGGGAGTCACTTAAAAACCAGAGTTATATACTTTAATCAAGCCTTCAACCTTTCAAAAAAATACATATTTGTATACATGGGTTGTTTTGTCAGAATTTGCTTTACGTTCTATAATTCAGCTAAACGAGTAGAATTTTAAAAAGGGAAAACTGTAGTACAGAAGTTTTAACAATTATGTATGTCGTAAGTTGAACATATCTCCAGTTATTTGTTACATGAACTGGGTCACAATTAGGTAGTTCTGAAGACGAGGCTAACCCAGATGTTGCTTGGAAAGACATACAAGCAGCTGTGGAAACAGCAGTGACATCTATTAGCGACTTAAACCAGAGAGTTATAAAGAACCAGTGGATTTCTTCAAAGTCCATCACACTGATGGATTCTCGCAAACTCGTCCCATCAGGTTCCGAACATGATAAAGAGCGACAACAAATCAGATCTAGGTTAAGAAAAAGTCTAAGAAACGACCGTGAGCAGTGGTGGGCAATGAAAGCAAAAGAGATGGAAAAGGCGGCGACTATAGGGAACACAAGACAGCTTTACAGATTAATAAAAGAAACTGGAACTAATAAGTCAAGTGTAAGTGAGATTATATCGAAGAAAGACGATACTCTCATCTGCTCCCAGTCCAAACGTTTAGAACGATGGGCGGAACATTTCAGAGAACAGTTCAACTGGCCTTCAGCTACTCTACAACTACCCTCCATTCCCAGACAGTGTGAATGGAGCATTGAAGTAGGTCCCCTAACCCTAGCTGAAGTTCAAATGCTATAGTTAATCTGAAACGAGGAAAGGCAGCTGATCCAGATGGACTGGCTTCAGAGGTCTTTAAGGATGGTGGTCCAATTTTAGCGATTAGGTTGACTAATATTTTAGCTAAGATCTGGGAGTTAGATGTTATTCCATCTGACTGGTCACAATCACTTATCGTCCCAATATATAAGAGAGGGTTAAAATGATCCTGTGACAACCACAGAGGGATTAGTTTAACTAATATAATATCTAAAATACTAGCCTCGATAATTATCAAACGCCTAACTAAGACTCGTGAACTGCAAACATGAGACAATCAAGCTGGCTTCAGACCAGGTCGTGGCTGCATCGACCACATATTCACCATTCGTCAGGTTCTAGAACACAGGCATACTTATCGGCGTCCGACGATGGTGGTCTTTCTTGGCTTAAAAGCAGCATTTGACTCTGTAGACCGCGAGATTCTGTGGCAGTGTTTATCATTGAAAGGCGTACCCCAGAAGTACATAAATCTTGTGAAGGCTCTTTACTCGAACACTACTAGTCGAGTCAGAGCTTATGGCGAACTGTCATCTACTTTTGCAACCTCAAGTGGTGTCCGTCAATTCTGTCCACTTTCCCCATTTTTGTTTAACTTCATCATAGATCTACTGATGGAAATAACATTCTCGTCGACTGAATTCTTGGGTATTGATCTCCTTCCAGGAGGTCTACTTATCGACTTAGAATACACGGATGACATATTCCTGTTTGGTGAAGATGCTGACAAAATGCAGAGTCTTCTGGTAGCACCAAGCAACAATGCCAGGATGTTTGGAATGCGCTTCTCTCCCTCTAAATGCAAGTTGTTGCTTCAGGACTGGTCTGCGTTAACACCTGAACTAAGGATAGGGAGTGAAGTAGTCGGACGCGTTGACAACTTCACTTATCTTGGAAGTCTGATCAGCCCTAATGGGTTGGTATCTGACGAAATCTCATCACGAATTCGAAAAGCTCGTTTGGCTTTTGCCAACTTACGTCACCTGTGGCGAAGGCGAGATATCCTTCTATCAATAAAAGGACGAGTATACTGCACGGCAGTTCGTTCTGTTTTAATTTACGGCAGCAAAACATGGCCATTAAGAGTAGAAGACACTCGTAAGCTATTAGTATTTGACCACAGATGCCTTAGAAATATTGCTGGGGTCTTCTGGGATCACCGGGTAAGTAATAGTGAGGTTCGACGCAGAGTATTAGGGAATGGTGGCAAATCAGTTGATGAGGTTATGAATCTTCATCGACTGAGATGGTTGGGCCACGTGTTACGTATGCCTGAATACCGATTGCCACGACGTGCAATGCTATCCGGTATTCCTGATGGAAACATGATATTCATTTTAAAAATCATAAGTCAGTAGGTTACCTGCTTATACTTCGTTTTAAGACTAGACTACAAAGAATTTTGATTGTTTGGAAGATTTGTAGCTCAGTTGAGTGATTTCGGTGAAATCTCGTTTTAATCGCTGGAAAATTCCCATTATATTAAAACACAATTGTATAAACGAAGATTATTCTTTTCAATAATTTCTCATCAAGTTCTACAATTATAAATCCGATTGAGTAATCCATAAGATTGGCCAGATTTAAGGTAGAGTACATCTTTTAAACTTGTAATATGTGAATTGAGAATTGTTGTTTTTCATATAAAACTAAATCAAATCGTTAATGTTAGGGTTGACTCATATAAAGTGTTAACTTGAATCAATTTATAAGTGAAATAAAATTGTGAGATAAATAATCAGAATAAATATGGTCAACATGGGGTGAGAGAGAAACTAATGGAATAAAAATCGGAAATTACGTAACATGTAGAATAATATGAATTAGGTCAAATATAGTAGATAGGGGTGGATGCTGAATAAATTTCTCAGAAAGGATATCAAGTGTAATAATAATAATAACGGTGATAAAGACAATAATAATAATGGTCTCGTTTTCTGAGCCGTATGGTTTGGTTATGGAACTTTCATTGTTCTTCTGAACAACATCATCAGCACAAACTTCAGGTTAACTTTTACTTGAGGAAGAACAATGAAAGCTCTACAGCCTCAAAGGCTATTATTTGTATTATTGTTTTTATCTGGCTATCATTATTTGGAATTTGTAGATATAACTAAATAGACCAGCCCATATTGAAACAGAATTGAAAGAACATTAATACTATTTGGTAAGATACTTCACCATAATAACCTTGGTAGATATTTCCTTATCATGTAGCGACAATGCCTCTATAAAGATACTACACGGCAACTGTGGCCAATGAAATCTATAAACCATGATTAAATTTCACTATATGTGAAGATTATATTTGAAATAATCTCAGCGATTGAAATTCTAATAATTCCAACGTTTCGTCCAGCTAACTTGTCTGAACTTCTATGATGATTTTGATTATTGCCCTGAAGAATTCCAGACAAGTTAGCTGGACGAAATGTTGGAATTATTTAAATTTTGATCTCTAAAATTATTTCAAATATAATGTTCACATATAATGACTTCTCTATACTCGGTGGCCAATTTATGTCAAACTATTAGTTCTAATCTTGACAAATATTCGTGATTAAATTTGTTTTCTTAGTATGTTTATGTTTAAACACGTATTTCGAAAAATCACATTTACGTGAGATGAAGACTGATTAAGGAATTTCCTAGTTGACGTAAGCCTAACCAGTGATCGGAGATGTTGTGTGTTATTGTTCAAGACCTATTTCAATTATGCTAATGTATTAATTCATTGCTGTCCCTTAGATCTTGATCCTCGAAGTTATTTTATGTTACTAATTCTGTAAAATTAATCATTCTTCTTGAATGATGTTCTTCATTTCCAAAATTTACACCGCCAACTAACCTTAGTTAAACAACCATTAACATCCAGGTAGCAATCGCAATATGTTTCTTCACATTACGAGACTCTTAGGGAGCGCTCACTCTTGATCCACCAGTAATTGAATCCACGAAATTCTAGTCGTTCAATGAGTGCCCAATCTTTAGACCAGTGAACCAGGATCTAGGGTTGAATATCTCCACCTTTAATCAATTCGCGATAGTGCACTAGCACGTTCAGGTGTCAGGCAGTAGCTCATCGAAAATAATCGAAGATGGCCAAAGAGTATCGCGAAATGATTAAAGGTAAGCATGTTCACCAATCGATGGTGTTTCATAGTCTGAGGGTTGATAGCTCGTTGAGAGGCCAAATTTCGTGGATTTTATCATCAGTGAGTTATGGATGAGCGCTACCTAGGAGTCTCATACTGGGACAAAACATCCGTCGATTGCTATCTAGTTCTCAGTGGTTTGCTATCTACCTAGTTTCGCTGATTTGGTATGAGGACTCAAGTCGACGCACATAAGTGTTAAGTTCTGTGTTATTTATGATTATGTTAAAAATAATGTTAATAAGCTACCTCTTTCCCTTTTCACTAATTTCACCTGTCGGAATTGAGTCTTATAAATCATTGCTTGCTAATTGTGTTTTTTTTTAAGTATAACATTTGGTCAAGTTTTATCTTCATTTCTTCTAAGCTTAATTTTTATTTTTGATCTTGTATGCTAAACACTTTATTCAGAATGTACTATCCGTTACACTGTACTTGAAAACATAACAGTATTCATCCTGACAATTCTTTATTTTCATTATTTTGTTTTATTAATTTTATAGGTGCAAAACTTGTCCATCTGGTCTATATTATTCAGTACAATATGATGAAATTAATAAAACAAATATAATCAATTGTACAAAATGTCCAAATAATTCCATTGTAGTTGGTGATGCATCCAGTTTACATACAGTTACAGAAGCATGTCATTTATGTGAACCAGGTACAATTGCAGTGAATCATAGTATATGTGTGACTGATACACAACCAATTACAGCGTCTGGTTTTCAATATAATTTAACTGATGTGATTGACAGGTAAAATTTATACAGTTTTGGAAAGCTTTTGTTTATCCACATTGTTTTTGTTGTTCATCAGGACGGAATTAAACAGTTTTTTGTTGACATATATAGCTCATTGAGTGAATGTTTTGATATTGAGTATATTAATAAGTTGATCTTATTCTTATGGGAGTTGACAGTGAATAACGCTGGGCTTGGACATTTCTATTCAGTCGATGCACCTCAAGTAGGAAAGGAAGTGGACTTTGTATTCGTCAATGTTTGATGCATAAAACTTTTATAATTTTTCAATGGTGGAGTTAACATTTTCGTCTCATCATACTAGAATATTTCCTTTTTCTTCGTAGAATAACATAAAATGGATTTAATAGTTGAATTCATGAGTGGATTTAAGCTAGACCACCATTGAAAACCCGGAAGCACTGAGCGGCTGTTTCGTCCTAGTATGGGACTCCTCAGTAGACCCAAGACATTCAGTTTCGCGGGCGGACACAACCTTTGGACCACTGAGCTGGCATCCAACGGTGTTAATGTCTAAATTCAACCAATCCACGATCTTGCGCGACCGTCCACTATTATCTCCAGTGAGTAGCTGCCTTACAACCGACACGGTTGGACTCCACTGGTCACAACTTCTCACTAGAACACCTGGAAATCCATTTTAAAGTCAGAGTAGAGATAATACTAATTTTATGGTTGAATTAATGAATCGATTCAAATTAGATCACCACTGAAAACGTGGAAGCACTGGACGGCCGTTTTGTCCTAGTATGGTAGTCTATTTTAGATTGACTCTAATAAATTAATAAAATCTCCACAAACTCCATTCTGATAATATGAATTGTTTCAGAATGAACCTACTTGTAACCACAGCTATGCATTGAACAATACTTTGATCAGAAAAATAACTAAGTCTGGTTATCTTTTGATTTACTTTAGAGTTCATCATGTCTCCAGTCCAAAAATGTTTACTCCATCAGGAACGGGGTACTATCATGAATTTCTTATAAGTATGGCATATGGTAAAACAGTCCAATGTATAGAGAATTCTTCAATTTATGTAAGTAAACTTTTTATATCAATTAATTTAACATTATCATGGTCTGGATTAGTAGTTTATAATATTAGATTTAATTTAATTTAGATGTAGTTTATCGTGACAGACTGATATCGTATTACGAATCAGTGAAAACCAGAGAGCCAGGGGCAGTTAACTTATTCTGATCTGGAACTCAGCCTTTCACGAATCGAAACCGAAACTTTGAAGTCTCACACTGATTACTTTATTTAAAAACCCATCTGTGTATTGTGGAAGAGACTGATGTTTGAATATTTACTTTCGATTTGATAAATAATTTCCATATTTAATAAAATGGCATTGGTATGTATTTGTTATGTACTGTTATGTATGTGATTAGAAATTATTCTCCAAAGAAAAACTATTATTAATGCATCGGGTATCCTTTATGTAAATAACAGCTAGATATTACAAAATAACCGGTCGAATTACTAAATCTCACACTTAATAGTATAGAAGTATACAACTAACTGAATGAAATCTTTCGTTAAGAATTTAAACAAAATTGTATAGCTATACAGAAAATATGAGTACTGTATTCTAGTACTAATTTTTGACAACCGAATCTATACAAATATTGAGTGAATCATACAATATTTCATTCTAGTTAATTCTTGAATGTTCTATTGAATGTATGTGCATGTATTTCCATCTTTGAATCAGGAAGTTTATTCTTTTGGCCTCTTGAATATAAAATTAACAGAGTTAGTGTTTATTGGATTGTAGTTAGGTGTTCATTTTGTAATGTACTCTACTCTAGTGTTTTTGTTAGCAACTTTAGGAAACGTTAATAAATAAACTGTTACTATGGCATCTGAAATCGCTAATTATAGATCAAATGAAAATAGCATCTAAATATCCATATAATGAGCGATAATGAAATAATCAAAACTGTCCAAATATTGGTATACATTATAGTTTTCTATTGTTCAAGAATCTAATTTCTTTGTAGAGAATTTCCCAAGTGAACTTATAATGTCATGTTTTGTTGCTAACTGGTAATTGGTTACAATCGATAGAATGTTTTGAACCTAAGTTTCATGATGGTTGATACTAATCAACAATTTTGTATCTATGATCTTCGAAGACCTTTTAACATGGTGACAACTGACTGGAAAATATATTTTCGAAAAAAACCTACACTACTCTATGAATAAATAAATTTACAATGTTTATCTTAAATTAATGAAAATCACCAATAATACTTTCCAGTTCAATAGTTTGTATAATACTGATTCTATGTAAATATTGAATAAGATAATGATTTTACAAGCTACAGTAAATAATTTTGTTTTCACAAGTTGATTTGTTGAATCTGATATAAATTAAAGGTAATTTCCATCACAGTCTGATATAATTTGTAAAGTCGATAAAATCTGTTAAGTATTAAAAAACTATTGTAAGTAAAGATGGGTATTGACTAGTAGTGGAATCCATAACACGCGTTTCGTCCTATTTGAGACTAGATGTACCTGTATCCAAGAGTTGATGTTCCTCCAGGAATTCAACCCAGTAATATTCGTTTCAAATGCCATCACGTTATTCACTTAGATACTGAGTTCTGATAGCCTCAACTGTTCTAATTTGTTTTTGAAGTTGCAGAGCCACATTGAAGATCCATGGTCAGTTTTAACCAAGAGCTAAATATTTGATTTCTTTGACTATAATTTTTGTTATCATAAGTGATAGCTTTCAGCACGATCATATGACGCTTTTCAATCCATTTTGTCAAAGGAGAAAAGAGATTCACTTTTAATTGATGTACTGTTTTCATAAATGATTGAGTTTCTCAAATTGATTTTGACCTAGTTATAGGAATGACTTTACACACAACACACTTTCCACTTAATAAATGGATTATGTTTCACACACAAATTATTATGTTCTCTTATTACCTACTTAGGTGGTCATCTTATGTAGATTTATGCGAATTTGATGTTAGTATTTATGAAGAGCTGACAATGATAGTGAACTATGATAAACTAACAACAGATGTTACACAATAGCTTAGTCTAAACTGCCGATATTAACCTTCTTAGTCGTTACCTACATCCATTCATTATAAACCAGTATGCAAATAATCTCATCATGGACTGATTATCTAACATAACTTATTTTACTAAGCGAAATAGTTCAAAATTGTAAGGCTCATTGAAAACTGTAAAGGTTTAGAGTCTAATTCCTCATAGGGCTCAATGGCTTAACAATCCTGTTAAGTCTTAAACCTGAAAGTCATTGGCTGTCCATTTATATCCTATAGGTGTAACAAGAAATCATTATGTTGCTCATTTTTACAAGAATAAAACAAATAAAAACAATTTTTTAATCATTTGAAATTTTCAGACTATAACTTAACTAAGCAAAGATGAATAGTGGCTAACAGTGGAATCCAGGACGCGCATTTCGTCCTACTTAGGACTCGTCAGTGAACACCAACTCTGGGATGCAAGTACATCCAGCTGACGAGTCCCAAATAGAACGAAACTCGAGTCCTGAATTCCACTACTAGCCACTAGCCATCTTTGCTTAAAAAAACTTGTGACTTAAAGCTATATCGAGGCAATCCGCACAGGATTTACATATGCCAACATAAGACTGATCGATTGCAGTCCTAAATAACGATAGGAAGATACATGTAAAACAATACCATATGAATTTATAACTTAATTTATTACAAAAACGTTTATTGATACACATTTTGAGTTGTTTAAATCAATAATAGAAAAATCACATAATCAAACATTCGAACACACATTTTTTTACATTCTAAAATGTATTTATCAAATGAAGAATTTTTTTATATATATAATTCAAAATCAATAACTGAATTTGGTGATTATTGAATGATTATGATGGTAGTTTCTAGAGTGTTTATTTTTCTCTATTGTTTTATTTCTTAATTTTCTTACCTTATTTTGCCTAAACTTCTATTTTATAGTGACCATTTGTATTCACTTTAAAAAAAATTGGTAATTGAATTGTTTGTATTAGTGTGTTTATAATGAATGGTGGGAGGGGGGTTAGTAAATTTTACATATATTTCGATTGACGGGTAAATTGATTGAAGAATACAGTATTTTCTTAATCTACTGACCAATCACTAGATTGATAATCAATAATATATTGTCTAGATCTTAATGTTGATTTTTTTCCCCACCCATTTATATTTATGAAATAAATGGTTCGATTTAAAAGAGGTCAGTTAACCGTGTAGACATTGTTGAGAGTAATCTAGCTCTATAACAGTTCCTTCATTGATATACGTGATGATGGAAATTGATTTATGTATACTTTTAAGGTTGACTTACATAGGTTTGAATGCTTAAATAAGTAAACTTTTTATCCTAAATCCGTGACTCTTACAATTTTATTTCTGTAAATTTATTATCTTCAAGTGGATTCACGAGGATTTACGGTAATTTAAGTTTATTTACGGTCTATTTGGACTAAATAGACTGGTTCTTTGTGTATTTACCGTTAGTATACAATTGATTCCCTTAAACTATCATTAGTGTACACATGCGGATACATAATATTGTTACGATTATCAATTACCGTTTATTATGAGGTTATATGTATTATTAACAGTAATTTTCCATGTGGTTATAACGTGAATCGCACATTACAGGTTACGTAACATAGATGAACTGTTTTTTATGAGATGATGATTTGTAGGTTAAGAGGATTTATTTGGTGGTACTTATTTCTCCATACTGGTTAGCGTTTTTTTAGCGAGTTAGTGTCAGTATTCATCCACAATGAACACTACGGATCATTGTGGAACAATCAGTTGAATGGAATTCATCACTCTACATCAACTTCATTGACTACGAAAAAGCATTTGATAGCGTGGACAGAACAACACTATGGAGGCTTCGTTGACACTACGGCGTGCCTCAGAGGGTAGTCAATATCACACGGTATTCTTATGATGGATTAAACTGCAAAATCGTGCATAGAGGACAATTGACAGGCTCGTTGGAGATAAAGACCGGTGTCAGGCAAGGTTGTTTACTCTCACCTGTCCTCTTTCTCCTGGTGATCGACTGGATTATAAAGACGTCAACACCTGAGGGGAAGCATGGGATACAGTGGACAGTCGGGATGCAGCTGGACGATCTAGACTTCACAGATAATCTGGCTCTTCCATCGCACATGCAACATCAAATGCAGGAGAAGACGAACAATGTAGCAGCAGCCTCAGCCACAGTAGGTCTCAGCATGCACAAAGGGAAAAACAGGATTCTTCGATACAACACAGAATGCACCAATCCAATCACAATTGATGGGGAAGATTTAGAAGATGTAAAAACCTTTACATGTTTGGGCAGCACCATTGATAAACAGGGTGGATCTGATGCAGATGTGAAGGCGCAGATCGGCAAAGCAAGAGCAGCATATTTACAACTGAGGAACAGCTGGAACTCAAAGGAACTGTCAACCAACACCAATGTCAGGATTTTCAACACAAATGTCAAGACAGTTCTACTGAACGGGGCTGAAACCTGGAGAACTACGAAAGCCATCATCCAGAAGATACAAGTGTTTATTAACAGCTATCTATGCAATCGCAGCTTCCGCTGTATAAATCATATATTTCAAATATACGCAGTTTATATACAAGCAAATCAGACAGCATCACACCATAAAACAGAAAATAACAATTATACAAGGTCAAGTCAAAAGTGGCTGTGAGTGTGGAAGGCTGAAACTAATAGGACGAGAGTAACTAAGACTGTTAAATCGCATAATAGTTAATAAGTCATTTGAAAGCTTATGATAAAAGGAATATGAAAATGCATATAATCTAGTGACTTAGTTATCCAATAAGAATATACGTAATAATAATCCATAAACAATTCTTAGCAGTTACCATTCATTTATTCTTCATTAGGATATAACATATATTTTTCTGGATATCACTAGTGCAGTATTGTTATGATACATGCCTCTCTAGAGATTGGAATCTATCTACATCTTAATTTAGCTAAGTCTATCAAATTGTCATTAATCTATACAGACCATAACAGATAACCTTGCAAAACAGATGTGTTTATACGAGGTTAACGCTGAGTCGTGAATCAATGTCTAGATTGAAGAAATATCAGATAAACAATCAAAAGTCCCGCCTTGTTTTTATACAACTTTAACTTATAATATTATAAATCGGGGGAGGGGGAGGGGAAGAGGTATCTATGGGATGTTTGTGTGGTCCTGAATATGGCGTTAAACTAATGGTTTCCCTATTTGGACTCAATGTTAACAAGGATTTAATTATTTTCTTGTTACACTTTAGGTTCAACGTGCATTCCATTTTTCTATCAGTTTAAATTTTTAAATGTTTATATATATATTAGAATATTTTGGGTGTGTACACTGTTCAATAAATTTGGGAGGTCCCGTAATCAGGAATCGTTATTTTTAAAATTTATTTTTACATTTGTTTGTTATTCCGTAATTCACAATTATATGTTCTATTGTATAAATATACATATAAAAAACTCGACAATGGCATCACATTTATTACTTAACGAGATCGGACTTCAACTTTTAAAAATGAACTATTAAATACATCAAGTTAGTTAGATAATTGTAGACATCTCTATGCGAAATGAAACTTTGGACCTATTATTTTAAATAAGTTATTTCAGGGACGGAAGTCATTGTTTCACTTACTATGAAAGTATTTATTGGGATCAAAAGTTTTGAGCTTGATATTGGTAGGATCATGAAAGTGTCTCATACTATTACGGAACAAAAGTTTAGTGCTTCTTCGATTTTAATGATTTTTTTAGGTCGGTTCATGATATTGAAAATATTTGATAAACTAATTTTACTACTTAATAATTTTGAGTAGCACGAAAATATCTAAAAATTAGGTGTGAAATATTGTTAGAGCGCTTGCAACGTTATACCTTAACAGTTGTTTAGTTCATGAAAAAGGGACAGAAGATACTAATTCACTGATGAAGCCTCTCGCGAAAAACGATTTTTTTGTATGTTTTTATGCTGCAGAATCCTTATGTAACATCATTGCAACTAAATGTTTTAAAATCAATTTGATTGACTCCACTTGTCATGATATCATTAAAACTTACACCTGACTCTGGTAGACAAACGGTTTTCATTAAATCAGAAGACCTTCAAGTATAAGTTTGAATATCGAATGAGTATTGTGATACTGAACGACGAAACTGACTATTTTTAAAAATATACGCTGATAAAATAATAATGAGAACATAAGAATATCATACTGATCAATAGAAACAAAGTTCTTCAATGTGATTTTGTATTTATTTGTTAATATTATTATTTTAGGTTAGAAGATTAAAAAAGAGAGAATAGTTTTATGATTTTAATTTGCGAACCATTTATTTGTAAAAATGAATTATACGGTCTCAACACAATAGTTTTCAATTGATAAATCCATTATAATTACCAATTTAAGTGTCAGTCAGTCAGTCAGCTAGAAAGTAGGCACGTATATGCGCCGGTCCAAGTAGCCACATCTCATTAACACAAGAAGGTTAACACCGAATTCATAAAAGCAGTTACTTCAATGCTACCTTGACATGGTGGTCGGGCATGCATATCGTAATGAACCAATCGAGCTAAACTGGCTCAAACAATCGTTCCTTAAGGTCCTACCATGACAGACAGGTCGTTTGATGAACTGTAAGACTAATAGCAGCAAATCCAAGATCCGAGGGCAAAGTCGTACCGCTGACTGTATAGAGGTGTGACAGCAGTTAGCCGTTTCATTCAGACAACCAGCACTACAGCGATGCTGGTGGTGGGGTTAGAAAAGGTCGACTCTAAAAATGCACACCTCACCTTATCTCACGCATATCCGTCTCCGGTGTTAAGGACGCAACAAATATGGAGCTAACACGAAAATTACTCACGAGAAGGTCGTGTGTGACCGACCTGAAGCAGTTATCACTTGGGCACTATGGATACACTCTCGAGTCACTAAGACCATCCCTAACCCAATTTCGTTTTCAGGTGCCTCTAGATGAACCCGTCTTTGGTGTGGGTGACCGGGAAGTGGTGATCGCCCTCTTATTTTTGACAGCACTCAAGAAAATTAAGTGATAAGCTAAAATTCAATTGACTATTTATATTGAATAGCAAACTCTACAATAAGTTTGTAATCAAGACAACATATATATAATTACTATTTAATTTTGAAGTTTCGTTGTCTGAGGTAAAGTAAAGCATTCTTATTTATTCACATACAATCGACAGTTTGTTTTGCCGAACCTATTCTTAAATCTTGTCCTGGTAATGTTGTTTCGTACGAAGAATGAAGGCTTTACGATTAAATCGTTCAGCTCAGAGAACAAAACTTCACCAAAACTGTCCATCTAAGGTACAAATCTTCCACATTATTGTTCAATTCCTATTCTTTGATCTAAAATCTCCAAGAACAATACAGTGACATAGAGCCTTTAATATCGTAATGAAATTGCCAGGAACTGTTATTAAAAGAAGGTTGAGTTCTTTGAAATCTATATTGGAATGAGTGTTTTAGTGCTTTAGGCTGTGTGACTTTGAACTCGATATATGAGAGAATTGGTTTTTAGCCTATCTAAAACATTAGATAATCTCAATAACAGCAATTACTTAGATAGTTCTATACACCAAATCCTAATTACATGCTAGCCACTCAAGTCCAATTGTTTGAGATTTTATCAATGAGTTATACACTAAAAACTGCACTATACTAAATGCTAATAAATAAACGAACTATTAACAGGCTAAGTTCATATGTGGAGTTTACTTTAAAAAGTATTCATGTAATGAATGACTCATTGAAAAAAAGGATGTTCGAATTTGTAACTACGCTACCACTCAGAAGTAATGTCTCTGAAAAGATAAAATAAGCTAGGATATATTGCAACAAAGCAACAAGTTGTCAGTTAACCGAACTTAGGGACTTGTTATAAATACCTAAAACAATACTACTATACTCAATATTATTATGTTTTGTTGAATTCAATACTTAACATACTGATTTTCTACAATAAATATCGTGCAGATATGATGTATTGATTGATTATCTCGAGTAGGTATTTTTCATTGTAGGTGATAAAGATATTTTTCAGTTGTAAACTTTTACATTAATTGTCTTATTACTTGTAAGTAGTAAAGTAATGAAATGACTTTAGTTTGTTATTTTATTAGTATAATAAGAATTTTCCTCAGTTTTACTGGTGTAAATTCAACATTGTATTCTCTTTATTTCTATCAAAGGATCAACATACCGTGAATGCTTCAATTTGTCGACATACGAGGTTTGAGGCGTCCAATCAAAGGCGTACAGAAACATACTCAAAACCAACAAGGTATGTAATTAGTGACTAAATATTGTTTTTATCTATAATGATTGGTGACCTGATAATTTAATAAATTTCTGCATGAGTTAAATTTTCAGAATTGCATATATTTTTATGAAAATTTCCCTTAGATTTCTTTCAGCTTTAAATTTAACAAGATCGATGATATTTTTATATTCGGTATACGACTAGCGGTGGAATACAGAATGAGCACTTCATCCTACTTGGAGCTAATTAACTAAATGTACCTATATCATAGTGTTGATGTTCACACTCAGTTTTGGATTCACTGCGTCCAATTTTTTGCTCATCCATACAGTAGTTCTAGATAGCCACTAATTAGTTTAGTAGTTATGAATGTATTAGTAAATATGTCCAATTCCTCGTTGTTAGTATACAGGACTGCAGTTGATAAGCATTTGTTAGTTAATGTTGATCCTGAGAAAATTTTTTGATGACCAAGTTATTATACGAGTCAATTTGCAACAGTGAAATGAATTTGGTGGATTTTGTGTGCAGTTAAAAGCTACGTGATGGTAGATTTTAAAAAAACTATGTTGGGAATTAATTATGCTTTCTACTGTTTTAAATAATCTCTTTCGTTGTTGAAATTTTAAGAAAGGTCAGCTAAGAGCACCAGATTATTGTTTTAACTAATGGAAATATTTTAGCCGATGGACATTGGAACGGTTAGTGATACGTTTATCGGAGTCATGATTATTCATATAATTGTCAGACGTATTGTTGTATTCATACATCCAAACAATATTTTATGACGATGGCTTATTTTACTGTCCTATCTTAAAATTAGTAATCATTTCGTTATTATGATAATTTTAGACTAGCTGATCGCCTTATTCGTATGGTGCCCAGTAATGTGACACTAGACTTTTGGCAAGAAGTAAACAAAAATTTGACAAAAGCAGGCTGGATGGAAGACAGTAAGTGTATTTACCCTTTTAAACTGAGTAATAATAAAATGATCAGATTTGTATGCAGAACTTATTATGAAATGTAAACGAAAGTGCTAATGCATATCGTAACTGTATCGAATTAATACTATTCATAAATTTTACTGAATTTTAACTGTATTTCTTCAGGTTGTTTTAAAATCTGATTGGTTTTACAGAGAACTTCTTATCAAAATTAAAATCATTCCGAAAACTTTCCAGAATTGATAATTCTATTAAAATAGATGTTATTCGTGTCATTCTTTACAACGCTTGTTAGTCATTTTAATTAATGTTAGCTTCTGTATTCACGTTTTAAGCATACAACAGTATGAATAACTGGTTTGTACTTTGAATCTCGGTTCATACACTATTATGGTGTAAACCATTATACATCAGTATCACTAATCATCACGTGGTGGTCGGGCATGCATATCGTACTGGCTCAAACAATCGTTCCTTAAGGTCCTACCATGACAGACAGGTCGTTTGATGAGCTGTAAGACTAATAGCAGCAAATCCAAGATCCGAGGGTGAAGTCTTGCTGCTTACTGTATAGAGGTGTGACAGCAGTTAGGCGTTTCATCCAGACAACCAGCACTACAGCGATGCTGGTGGTGAGGTTAGAAAAGGTCGACTCTAAAAATGCACACCTCACCTTATCTCACGCATATCCGTCTCCGGTGTTAAGGACGCAACAAATATGGAGCTAACACGAAAAATACTTACGAGAAGGTCATGTGTGACCGACCTGAAGCAGTTATCACTTGGGCACTATGGATACACTCTCGAGTCACTAATACCATCCCTAACCCAATTTCGTTTTCAGGTGCCTCTAGATGAACCCGTCTTTGGTGTGAGTGACCGGGAAGTGGTGATCGCCCTCTTACTATTAACAGCACTCAACATCACTGTACATTATTTTTATACACTTCAGAATCATATAACCTGTACTCCCTATTAAATTATTGAGATCAGAATATAAAATGATGAATGTTAGATATATCTAAGATTTTAAATTATTCATTTAATTACTAATTTGATGTCCATTAAGTATCTAAATGTTATTACTACATATTACATTGTAACTAATCAACATCTTCATTAACCGGATAACTTGTCTGTTTTACCCACTTTAATCACTGTCATAGAATGAAAAATTCTTTCAATATCTGTCTACTCTATCACATATATATGTATACATATACATACACTCATACACTGAAAAAAAAGAACAATATTAAATGATCTCATATGTAATATTTAGACAAGTAAAAGTATAATCAACAGACTAGTTATTTATGTACATAATTAATTCTCAAGAGTGAATTCCTACAGATAATTTAAATTACATTTGCATATTTTATAAGGTAACTTTTTTTTCTTCTTTTTTTATTATTATTTCTTCCTGAAAATATATTCATCATTTATTGTGAATTTCATTGACTATTTAAATGGGGGTTTTGTTTTTGTATTCATTTTGTTTTAATCAACTTGATGGAATTGCTTCAGTTTCTTCTTCTTCTTTTTCTTCTTCTTCTTTTAACTTGTCATATTTCTTTTCTTTCGATAAAACATGGTTTATCCAATGTCTTTTGTTTTATTTTTCATTTACCTTCTTATAGAATTCGGTAACGATTTACATTATATATTTGCTTCTGATGAGTAAGTTTAAACAAAGTTAGATTTTATTTAAATTTCTTAAATATTGAACTATTTCAATTCTTTCTCTCTTTATAAAAAAAACCTGAATGTTACATAAGAATAACACTGTGATATGTTTTATTTAATGATCAAGATCTATGATCCGTTGTTTTGTAATTCTAGTCAGAGCATTATTATCTTTTAGTATACTGAATAAGGATGAGTTTAATTTTACTAATTAACAAGTATTTAATTCAAAGGCTTCATTAACTACTGAAACGAATCAAAATGAAATTGATATATCAATGTTGTGACTTGAAGGAAATGTTGATTACTACTTATGGTATAATGTTTACTTTGATTGCTTAATAACTAGCATTGACTAGTTAATACAACGGTAAGAGACTGCTATCCCAATACAAGAAAGAAAAGAAGACTGTAGAAGTGGATGGAATTATTCATGAGCCTTTAATTAAATCATATCCAGAAGTACAAATTATACATTATTTTAAATATTTTAGTCAATAAATTAACTTGAATGAATGAAATGAACCTAATGTGAATCAATAATCTAATGTATGTATAGAATTTGCAAAATCAATAATTTAACTAACTTACCTAAGAGACATAACTCATCTATAAATTATTAATTTGTTTCTTTGTTACCATCTACTAACATTGTAAATCTGAATTAAGCAATTATTTATCAAATAAAAATTTAGCTTTTAAATTTCAGTTTTATGTGAGTCAATAAAATTTTTATTTATTTGGCTAAAAGAATATGAAGAATAATAAGGAATGGACAGAGTTTTTCTATCTCATCCACCTACTCACCAATACGATAAAAAAACACGTTTGTTTTTACTATGAAAATAAAGTTATGTAATCTTATAAGCGGAGATAGATGGTGGATAGTAGTGAAATTCACGACGCACGTTTCATTCTATGTGGAACTTGTTAGATGGATGGATACGGATACAAATAACAGACTTGTCAATTGCAGTCTTAAACACCAATGAGAAGATTCAAACAAACAATATAAAAACGAATTTAAACTTCACCTCATTGCACAAGTTAGTGGCCATCAGGACTTAGTAGCTAAGTGGATGACGTGATGGCGTTTGAAGCGAATGTTACTGGGTTCGAGTTTCGGAGAGAACATCAACTGTGGAATGCAGGTCAGTCAAGCTGAAGCTTTCCAAAAAAGAAGAAATACGTCCTGAATTTCACTACTAGTCACCAACCATCTTTGATTATAATGTCTGGAAGAGTTTCAACTTTATAATCTTTCAAGGTTATTAACTGTCCTTCGGTTGAAATGTTATTTTATGTCAAAATACATTTTTAAGCATCGAACTAATTCCCAGACAACATTGAGTTGAATATATCTTTGAATAGAAACTGAATAAAGTGTGTACAAAGTGTTAAACAGTTGCCAATAACGATATTTTTCCTGTCATTTTCTTTGGTTACTATTTATTACTCGTTAAAGAGTGAATAATAGGGGTTTGTTTAAACAAATGATTGGCATCACAACAACATATTACTTTTCTTATTGTACAAAACGTGTCCAATATCAAATTTCTGGTAATTATTTTAACTCTCTTCCTAAAGCCAATCACTTATATCCATACCACAAATCTTGAAATAAACATTCATTTCTTAATGATAACTAACAGCAAAATCAATAATGTACATTTTGTCCTATTTGGGACTACTTAGTTAGAAGTGCTTCTATTTCACTGTTTATATGTCTCAATCAGCATTTTTCTCCCCTAAAACTAATTACTTATGAATTTTTAATTGTCAGAATATAACAATAATGAGAGTAGTGCTGTTCTATGATTTAAGTTAGTTCAACTGTGCAACATACTATTCTATTCCTATTAGATTACTAAAAATATGTATCCAGGTAATAGAATTCCACTGATAACAAACCAATACATATATGTATATACTGTATATATATTCTATACTTAGTTGAAATTAATTATTTACAAGACAAAAAAAAATAACAAATAGAATTATCAGGTAATGACATTTTTTAAAACAAATCCTTTCTATTTGCTTTAAGTCATAGTTCCAATTGTCCTCATGGACGAACTACAGTCATTACATTACGATGTGTATTTACTCAAAATTTTGAAACATTCATGTATCAAGTAAAAGATTTCAGTGAATATATAACTGGTAAAATTGAATTACCACCATTGTGTCCAGATGGTACTTGTGATGGATGTACTTATCATTTTCTATGGACTTCAATGTATGCTTGTCGTATTTGTCAAGAAAATGATTATGAAAAAATTCTTAGTGAGTGTAGTTATGGCCGTAGACAGGTTCATCTTCGTGCTCCATGGTAAGTTTAATTAAAATATGAGAATTATAAAAATACTGTTTTTGTCACTCAGTCAGTCAATCAGTTATATACAACGTAGAACCTAATTCATTTGTACATTGGTTCAAGTTATTACGCTCCATTAGCACATGAACATGAAATTATCATAGCGAATTCTAGAGCATTAGTGATAGTAAGAGTATAAATGTTAAAATTAGACATTAAAAATACAATTCGAAGAGAAGGAAAAAGCTATTTTTATTACAGTTAGACAATAACTAAGTATATGTTAACAACTTAGTGAATTGCCAATTGAGTTATTTTATATAGACGTTAGATAGATTTTTTAATCAAGTTGGTATGTATGACAACGTACTGCTTTAAACAACATAGATTTACAACAAAAATGACTGCCATCGGAGGTATCAAAACAAACTAACTGGCCTGAGACTGAAAAGAATGTAATTTAGATAATATAGTATATTTTCTAAATTGCTTGAGCTAATGCGTTGGACGAAAAAAATGATACATCCAACAGGATTGTACCATTCATGTGACCGTACCGTCAATAGTTCAAAGTGTAGATATCTAATTAAGTCATTTTCAATTATAAATAATCATTTTGATTATTTAATCATAAATTTCTGTATCCGTGTGTAATGTGTACATCAGGTATATATATTTAATGCGTTAAATATAAATACGCATTCAAATATTGTCTGAAGCATACTTCATTGCTAAATTTAGTATTATTGCCTCAAGAAAAATAGAGAGAATGAGTAGTTGTGTAGTATTAGAATACTTGAGATGATTTACTTTTTGTCGCTAGTTAAATATGTCTTTGGTTTTATTCAACCACTTTTCATTGAGATTTATAAACAACCATTAACCTATGACTTCCAAATTATATCTGATATACATATTAAGTTGGGAATGTAATGATTTTTTTAAAATAAAAAAAAAGAAACAGTTACTGTTAAGTGTCATTGGATTTTATCGGCGAGTTATTATCCTATTCAAGACCTAGTTGGTTCAAGTTGATTTAGAACGTCAATGACGTTATCCACTCAACAAATGGTTCCGGATAGCCACTAATTTGTTAAACAGATATGAAATAATAAGTAAAAATTTTGTAATTTCTGGATGTTGATAGTTAAGAATGTAATTCATCAACCACTGTTACCAAATGAGAATCCCGAATAGGCTGTCCCGACATAATCTTATCTTATGTATTCGGTATGCAGTAAGCAGTGGAATTCAAAACACACGAGGTTATAATATTCATCAGTTTCATGAGCTAACTAAAATCATTACCTAATGTACAATGTTTCAGTCATTAACTATACTTGACTTGCTAACCTTACTAGTTAAAATTTTAAATGATTAAGATAAATGGTGGCCTTTCTATCTGCTGAATTATTCACAAAGAAAGTGATTTTTGATATATAATTTATTACAAAATAATGGACAGTACTTGTTTTCTATTTTATAACGCCGTTAAGTATATAAAGAGGATTACATTTAACCTGTCAGAAAAAAACTAATCTTTCATTCTTTCGTTTTATTTCATAAAAGGGAATGTCGTGTTCCACAGAACAGAAATCTCACCCTCATTGAAAGTTGTCCACTTTTGTCTAAATCTCAAACAGCCGCCGTTCTATTGACTGTAATAATTCTAATTATTTTAGGATTAATCATCTTCATGTGTCATCGTCGAAATAAGAAGTAAGTTGTATGTATTTGAATGGCCATTTGTGTACGCATATTATTCACATTTAAGCTAATGTTTATGATGGACTATTCTTAGTTGAAAACCCATTAAAAAAAGTATGACATACTGAATCTCTTTAGTTGATGTTTACGACTCTTTCCTAAGTCAAACACACACTTTACGTAGGGTGAGATTGAAGTTGATAAACCTTAAATATAACACTTTTAAATCTGATTTACTAGTTAGAAACAAATGTCCATACGGGTATTATGACACGTCGGATCTGCATACCTACATCAGAAAGCCACTGACATAATTCATATATAGACTGTTTCTAGAGGTTTACTGTTGCCCAGTGTACGATTAATATCATTTTTTAAAGATTACATCCGGTGGCGATACAGCTTAGGTAGTATCTTGGTCAGGTAAAGTATGTTCGAGGTAACTATCATGCCGTTAGCACTATTATCTTAAAACAGTGGTTTTAGTGACCTGGATATGTTTTGTGATGTTCGTCGCAGGAGCTTCAACGTTGAACATTATTCATTCACACTGGGACTGGGTAGAAAACCAGACAGGTGGTCACTATATTATATGACACCCATCTCCGTACACGACTGGAATCTTTTCGAAATCTTAGAGATCATACAACCTACTGGCTTCAGAACTTATCATACATGTCTGAAGACAAAAATCATAAGAGAACCTAATTCATTTTTTTATTGTGTACTTGAATCATCCCATTGGTGTTTAAGACTACAATTGACAAGTCTGTTATTTGTAAGCAAGTCCGTCCATCTGACGAGTTCCAACTAGAACGAAACGTGCGTCGTGGATTTCACTACTAGCCACCATCTTTGTTACCCATTAAAGAACCTGTTTTAGTTTCTTGTTAAATTCTTCGTAACAGTAAAATGAATCTGCCTATTCAAAATTCTTTTTTCATATTATTTAGCAAAATCAAAATTTTAATTTTATGTTGCATTCTTTTCATGTTTTGGTGTGTGTGTTATAAATAAATTGATATCTTGTCAAATAATCAAAATGATTTGACATCGTATTGAAATTTATTTTCTATATTAAACGATTATAAATAATCGGTTGGAAGCTAGTTAGGGAGTTTGAAAGTTGTTAACAAGAGGCATCTATATACTGAAGGAGAGCGACGAATCATGTGTTAGTTACTCTTGTGACTCGTTAGCCCAATCAAAATTCAATGATACAATTTATTTGTTAACTATAAATAAGTATGTTTAGTCGTATTATTAACTGTCACATGCTATTCAACGATTATATACAGTTTACCTGCTTATTAATTATTTCTGTTATCTATAATTGCTGATATAGTTCGTAAATTATGAGGGGGATGCTATTTTTATTAATATTTAAACAAAAAATATGCTCTGTTTTAATACAATTTTGTGTTAACTTCTTTTGTTAGACTAGAATATAAATACATGAAACTTGTTCAAAGTACATCGGGGAAAAATCAAGTAACTAGTTGTGCAATAGAAGGTGACGGCGATATGGATAAAGGAGGAAGTGTATATTACACTACAATGAATAATAATAACAATAACAGTAATAATAATGATAATTATAATAAAACACGAATTAAATCACCTCCAAGTTATGCTGATTCAACTGGAATTGTATTAGAACCAAATGAATTTTTGAAAAATGATCATTTCACACAAATGGGATTTAAGGGATTGCCTAAAGTGAATCTCCCACCGATTATCTACAAAGTGAGATTATTTTTAGGGTATATATATATATATATATATATATATATATATATATATATATATATATATATATATAAGATTTTGACGCAATTCAAAGTTATTTTTCAACATAAACTGGCGAACAATTTAAAAATCAAAGGTGCAAGACAATTAATTGTCCTGGTTTAAAATGTTTATTAAATTACCTTACAGCCTAAAACTACGAGGTTTGATCTTATGTAAGGTCATATATATTTGTAGTGTTGTTAAGCCAATCCTTTCCCTCCAATTCAGATAAAACAGTCCTCCTGATTTTCGGTAATTCTGCAGTTGACATTAGTTTACGGTGGAAATCATCTTCACATTAAATTTATCTTTCATAGTTTTAATGGGTAGAAATTAATGCACCAAAAATAGAAAAGGT